GAGGAATCCGAGTAGCTTGGCCGACGGTACTCCGAATGTGCACTTCTCTGAGTTGAGCATAAGGCGATATCGTCGGAGGTTGTCGAACGTTTCCCGCAGGTGATCAATCAATGAGTCGCTCGTCTTGGTTTTGACAACGATGTCATCGACGTAAGCCTCGACATTGTTGCCAAGCTGGTTGCTAAGTGCGCCCTGGACCGTGCGCTAGAAAGTATTCCCGGTAGTTATTAGTCCGAAAGGCATCTTAACATAGCAAAATACCCCGAACGGCGTGATGAACGTTGTTTTCTCCTCGTCCTCTTTCGCCATACTGATTTGGTGGTAGCCAGAGTAAGCGTCGAGGAAGCTTAAAAGCTCGCATCCGGCTGTTGAATCCACCAACTGGTCTATTCGAGGGAGAGGAAAGTGATCCTTGGGGCACGCCTTGTTGAGGTCTGTGAAGTCGACGCACATTCTCCATTTTCCGTTGGCCTTCCGCACCATGACTGGGTTGGCTAGCCACTCTGGATGAAGTACTTCTCTGATGAAGCCAGCTTTGAGAAGTTTGTCGAGCTCTTCTCGTATGGCTTGTTTTCGATCTGGTGCAAATCTCCGCAGTCTTTGCTTTACTGGCTTGGCATCGGGTCGCACCATTAGTTTGTGCTCAATCACCTCCCTGGGGACCCCCGGCATGTCGGACGGCTGCCAAGCGAACACGTCGGCATTGTCGCGGAGGAAGGTGATGAGCGCGAGTTCCTATTTCTCATCTAGTGTAGCCCCGATTTTGACAGTCTTGTCGGGGTTAGCACTAGAGAGCGGAACGATTTTGATGGCGCCGTCTGGCTTCGGCGTCTTGTTTAGCTTGCTCACTTTCTTGGGTGGCTCAGACATGGCAGGTGGGGTGGGCGTTTGCTCGACCATGTCGAGGCTCCGCTTGTCGCACTGCACCGCCAGCTTTGCATTCCCCTGAATAGTGATTGTTCCCTTCGGTCCCGGCATCTTGAGCACTTGATATGCGTAGTGGGATGCGGCCATGAACTTCGCAAGTGCAGTTCTCCCGATGATGGCGTTATAAGCTGTATTAAATTCAGCGACATCAAAGGTGATCTGCTCTGTTCGGAAGTTGTTGGCTTGGCCGAAGGTCACGGGCAATGTGATCTTGCCCAAAGGTCTGGATGATGATTGGGGAGTAATTCCATGGAAGGGTTGATCAGTTGGTGTCAACTCACTTTGTGGGATTGAGCTGCCACCGTCGATGAGAACTCGTGCTACCTTGACGTTCCGAATAGTGGGCTCGACCACGATCGGATATCGACCTGGGATAACAGAGGTGTTGGGGTGGTCCTCCTCCGAGAACTCTATTCTCTGCTCAGACCACTTCATCTTGGGTGCAGCCACCCGCCACGTCGAACAGACTTCACGTTCCACTTTCTTGTATTCTCGCTTGGAGGAGTACGTTGTGGAGCCGTCGAAGATGTGTGAGATGTGGAGGTCGGAGTTCGGGTACGCAGAGTCCGATTCATGAGGAGGTGTCTCCTCGTTCTTCTCGACAACACGTACCCGCTTGCCCTTTTCAAATGCCATGTGCTTCTCGAGCGACTTTTTGAAAACAAGGCAATCCTCCAGAGAATGTCTGTCCGCTTTGTGTATGGGGCACCATGATTTCTTTGTATCGCTGCCCTGTGGGTTTGGGCGCTTGGGAGGGTTCGCGTACTTAGCTGCGAGGACTTCCGCTTGAGCTTTCCTTTTCCCGTTCTTGCGATTTTTCTTCTTGTTTGACTCAAATGCGTCTGCGGCTGGTTTCTTCTCTCCCCCGGTCTTCGGCTTGTCGTTCTTGCGTCTTAGCGCGTCATCCACGTGGGCACACCGCTCAACGATCTCGAATAATCTTCGAGTAGTTGTGATGCGTCTTATTGCCAACTCCTGGGTAGTGTAGCGATCTCTGACACTGGACTTGAAGGCACGAATTACAGAAGCGTCGGTAATCTCGGAAATGGTGTTTCTGCACTTATTAAAGCGCGAACGTATTCCCTCAATGATTCCCCAGAGTTCTATGTTAACGCGTGTAAGTCGTCTTCGATCGCGTGGCGCTTGTATGTTCCTTGGAAATTGGCGACGAACTGTTGCCACAGATCTGCCCACGAAGAGATTGAGTAGGGAGGAAGATGCATCAGCCATGAACGTGCAGAACCCTTCAACGCAGTTGGTAAATAGTTCGCCAATGCGTTGTCATCTGCTCCAGCAGCATAAAGCACTGTCGAGTAGACTTGAAGGAATTCTTCTGGGTCAGTGCTCCCATCATACTTTTCAATGGCCCGGGTCGGAATCTCTCAGGCCATCGGACATCACGTAGGGAACGACCGAAAGCCCTATACCCAGCACTGGGGGCGGTGGGTTGCCGGCGGTCGCATGACCTTCGTGGATGTCTGTCTGACGATGAAGAGGACGCGGATGATGACGATGACGAGGGGTCGCTTGGCTCTGGCGTACGATTACGAGGATGACGACCTGGATCCCGGGAATCTTGTCGTTGTCTCTCGCTGTTATCTCGGCGCCGATCTCCTTCGTCGTCGTCGTTGCGGCGACGGCCATGACCAGTATTGTCTGGCCCCCGCCGTTCATGATCGTTGCATTCTCGGTCCTCGTTTGGGCGGTCTCCTCGATCATGGCGCCGTGAAGAAACATGACGCCGAGAGCGATTTGCATCGTCCCATGTGCGCCGTGCTTCTCGGCGACCGTTAATTTGATCTCGAAGATCACCAGTGCCACGAGGTGGAGGGGTAGCCTGTCGAGGCGATTCCCTCCGCTCCGGATCTTCACCATTGGGGTTGGCGATTGGTGGCTGATCTTAGTGTGATGCGGTAGCGGCCTCTTCGAACGCATTGCTAAGGTTGGTCACCGACTCCCGTAATCGTTCTGTCCAATGCTCGAGGTCATCGTTCAGAACGGGATCGAAAGGAGTTTCCCTCAGTATAGTTTGAATAGCCCTGATGTGCTGAGCTGGAGTAGTCGATTGATTTGCCGCTTCTGCGTTGGCTTGAGCTGACGTGCCAACGTCATCGATAACTAATACCTCCCGCGGTGCACTTGTTGTCGATGACCCGTAGTCTTCGAGGAGATGTAAGAACAATGGTTCGTGAGGATCGAGATCGATTACCCCAACGAATCGATCTGAGGCTGGAGTCGCTCCCTGTTCCTTGCCGTTATCCCTGGCGGGGACGTATGACTTAGGAGATGGGGTCTTCATGGCGCCGAGGAGAACTTTGCAGCTCGAGAGATCGTGATTCTTTGTCTTGTGGATAGGACAATAGATATCCCGAGTTGGAGAAATACGCTGAATTCCACGTTCTTTGCAGGCGCGAATTTCAGCACGGACATCGATGAATACCCAGCAATCTTGAAGGGTATGTTTCTTGGTTTTGTAGATAGGACACCAAGACCTGATAGCTTCGGGAGTCATCTTTGCCGGTCCGTGTATTTTGTCGGAGGGACAAGACTTGGCCGCATCAGAATCCTTCCCGAGTTTGAATGTAGTCGGTAATCCGTTCTCCGTTTCAATGGGTGGGTTTTTCGACATGGAACCGTCTTGGTTCGTAGCCACTGCGTTCTCGTTTTCAGTCATTGGAGGACCGGTTGAGATCGGCATCGTGGTGTAAACCGGGAAGACGATTTCGCCGACTTGAGTCCATACCAGCATTGTTGAAGTCGAGAGTGTTTGGCTGGAGCGGGTGTTGACGTTGTTGTAGACGAAGCTTGATGGCATAGTAGTAGAACCTTGAGTACCAAGTCCCCCTACCTAGCGCGCCACTGTCGATGGGTGATACCCGTAGACCGGATATAGAGTGTATAGGGGTACGCTGGTACAAGGATCTACGTAGTACGACATCAAGCAATCAAAAGACAGGAATTATACTGGTTCAGGCCCCTTAACAGGTAATAGCCCTAATCCAGTTGATATGGGATTATATAGCGGAAAACACAGGTTACAAAGGAAAAGATGGAACTTGTCAGATCCGGCGAGATTGTAGTCGAGTTGATTCGACTAGCTCTCGACGACTTGGCTCCTCGCAGGCTCCGGCTTCATAGACTGTGTGGGTTGTGTTGGCTCTGAGATTCGATCCCCTATGCCCTCTCCGGGGGATCCCTTTTATACCATAGGTCTGATGCTCTCCGAGTAGGACTCGAACACACCAGACCTAGCACGATACGTAGGTAACCCAGTCCTTGTCCGAGAAGGACTCTTTCCGTCTGTTGATTTCGTGAAAAGTTTCCTTAGATTATGAAGGAAATGTCCGCGTACGCGTGGGCATGCCACGTCGATACGTAACGTATATCGAAGGGTAGAGGGTATGCCAGACCCGTAACCTCGACAACAATGATCTAGGCTCGCGAGCCAAAACAAGTGGCTCGCGAGCTAGCTCAGCTCGGCTTATTTCAGCAACGAGCTGAAAAGGAGGCTTCTTGGGCTTGGCTCGTTTGGCTTACGAGCAGAGCCAAGCCAACCAAGCTCGAGCCAAGCCCGAGCTTTTTTTCCACCCCTAGCGGCGATGCGCCAATAAGGAGAAGTTAGAGTCACTGCTCTATCAGAGAATACCAGCAGTTGGTGCCTGGAGAGGAGAAATAGGCCCGTCAAGGTTGGTGCGTGGAGAGAGAGGAGGAAAATGTTATGGTCAATGACATGTGGGCCATGCAATTACTATTATTTTTTCACTGGCTAGATATGTACGTCAGCCTCATGTATATCAAAACTACTCAGGTTTGAATTGAGGGGTAAATTGAACGGTTTTAGAAGTTGAGAGATGTCTAAAAATCTGGTTTTGAAATTTGAGGGTGCATTTTAAATCAACGCAATAGCTGAGGGGGCGAAATAGACTTATTCCTAATTCAAACCAGCAAATCAGACAATAGCAATCAGTGCAGCCACCTACCTGCCCGCGCCGCACCCTGGCCCTCTTGGTCTTCAATTCTTGGTTAGCAACGGTCAGATTCCTCACCGAATCCGCACTATCCGCCACTACCAAAACTAATTTATAAAATACTTTCTCGAAATCCCCGGAAAAAAATTCAAAATCGAGCCACTCCATCGAATCCTTCCACCCGGCTGCTCCCGTCCTCCCGCATCTTCGCCTCCATGGGCTGCTTCCTCGCCTGCTTCGGCGACCGCCGCCGCCGGCGGCAGCCGCGGAGGCAGTCTCCGGCGAGGTCCCCGCCGCCGCGGCCGGACCATGTGAGATTCTGGTCTCGGGTGCTCGCCCCTGTGGTAGGGCGCTCGGGTGGGTGATGGTGATTCCGTGAGTTCCTGATGGGTTTCGGATTTGCCCCGCAGGTTGCTCTGCTCGGCAAGGCGTTGACGGCGGTGGATGTGGAGGCGAAGGAGGAGGTGGAACCGCCGCCACTGTTGCAGGAGGCGAAGGATGTGTTGCTGGCACCGCCGCCCATGCCGGTGGAGGCTGCGGAGGAGGTGGTCACTGGCGCAAGGCCCGGAAAGGAGCTGAGGTGCGTGTAGCCTCCACTGTGGTCGTCTTTGCGTGCCTGTGAATTTTCGCTGTTGCTCTCGAATGCTTATGCGAATGCGTGAGAATGGCTGGTAGGGAGAGAATTGCAGCTCGGGTGTTTGCTGAAACGCCTCAGAGAAGCAGCACCGTAGTATTGACTGACATGGATATGAACATGTCCTAATGCTCGGCAGCCTGCTTATAACTGTTAATTGCCTAATTCCCAAATGCCATATACGTTTAGTTCCGTATTTCTATGGCTGTACCTTCACCTTGTATTCGATGTTGTATTTCTTACTGTTAATCTGTTTGCAGTGAGCAGAAGGCATCGCCAGCAAGCTCTTTGCTGCCGGAGAAGCAAGTAACACCGCCACTCTCCCCGGTGGCACACTCACCACCTTTGGCGGAAGCAGTTGTTTGCACTCCTGATCCAGAACTCAGGTAGGTTAACGAAATGATTAGTGTATGAATGATTCGGCTTGTGTGCCTGTTAACATGCCGTCTTTCTTGATGCATAGGGAGGTGGGCGGACAAGAGAGCCGCAGCAGTGGCAAGAAGAAAGTAACGTTCGACATGAATGTTACGGCATATGAAAACACTGCACCGGCTGACCAAGAGGAGGAACCACCAGAGCCTGTCAGTATGGTAGAAAATGAAGATGGAAAACACATGCAAAAGGATGTGCTGCTCCCGGAGAATCACCGTTACCGGAATTGCTCAGACAGCGAAGAAGAAGAAGATGAGTATGGTGAGGACGACAACTACGGTGATGATAGTGATGAGGAGGAGGAGGATTTTGTAGACTGCAAGATTGATTTAGTAGACAAGGATGAACTGTACACTGAAGATATCAAGCAGGAGTCCCATGAGTCTCTTTTCTCATTGCAAATGTACAAAGATCAGCAGAATGACAATGAAGTCAGCAGCCCTGCACCTAAGAGCAGTAGTACCTCTGTAGAGGAACAAAGCCCTCTAATTCAGAGAAACAATCATCGCGACAGAGGCCAGTATGTCCGTCCTGTGCTGAATCCGGTTCAGAATATGTCACAGTGGAAGGAAGTAAAAGCCCAAGCAGCACCAGCTAAAAAGTCGAATAAGGAGAATGTAAATTCAGTGCCAAAGGTAGGTGCAACCCCTGAAAATTCTATCAAGAAGGAAGTTTCTGTGGATGCGAGCCTCTCTACTTGGTTGGTTTCTTCAGATAACTCAACAGTAGACAAGGTGCAAAGTGGATCTCCTTGTTCCATTTCAACTGTAAACCGAGATGAAAGGCCTGTCCTGGGTGCTTTGACGGTCGATGACCTTAAGCAATCATCAGCTACATCATCTCCACGAAGGTCTCCCAGCCATAACCGTGAAGAGGCGATCTTGGGTACGGTGGGAAGTTACTGGAGTAGCACCAAGCAAGACAATGCACACTGTTCTTCAAGATCAGATTCAGGAACCAATGGAATCCCCAATACGACAAGCAAATACAGAGAGGTGCATTCAACACTCAAGTCATATGTTTCTTCAGATTTTTGAATGATGTACTGATGCTTCAGTGGGTTGCTGCAGGACAAAAGGGTAAACTGGCACTCAACTCCCTTCAATGTCAGGCTGGATAGAGCACTGAAGAAATCCTCTGCATGAGCTTGTTTCTCTTCATTTAAGCGTTTGAAAATTTTCAAGTGTGCCAAGTCCTTGTTTGTTGTCCACCTTGTAAGAATGTGTAAGATTTAGAGTGTGAAGCCAATTTCATTTCATGTACATGAAGGTGCAGAAGTTCTTCTGGATTTTGGACCTGCTTGCGTGCTTGCAAATAATTGTGAAAAGATGCTACTCGCCGGTTATTGCCCATCTTTCCATGTTCATGCATTTCTGCAAAGCCCACTGCAATCCTGAGTCTATGGTTACACTGACTGTTCTTTCGATTCGGATTCATCATATCCTCACGCTGTCACGCCTTACCCTGCAAGTTGGCTTATTTACTTGACCACTTCCACATACATTTGTGATTTGTTTGGCCCTCCTGGCTCCTGTTCATATCATGGTAGACTGAAGTACTGAACGTTAGTGGTAAATTGATACAGTAGCTCGTAAATTTCAGCAAGTTCACGTCGTCCAGATCATTTTTTTATTTTGACTTTGCTATACATTTGCTGATAAATTTTCTCCTAAAAATTTATCAAATATAAATATAGTTTAATTGTAGTGTAATTATATCTAAGTTGTATATAATTACAATGTTACTTGCATGTAACTTTTACATAATTTCTAGCCACAATATTTGTTTCAAGATTCATGCAAACAGTGAAGGAAATAATCATATCGTGCATATGTGTGAGGGCATTTCGTCCTGAGACGTCTGCTTCTTAGAAATTTCGTGTTACTGCGAGATTTTTAAAGTTACATATAAATTATATTGTAATTATTATAATATAATTACACTATGACTATCCATATCAATTTTGCTATACATTTATCGACAAATTTTCGCATAAAGAATTGACAGGTGTAAATACAGTGTATTTACATCGTAACTTACATGTAACTTTTAAAAATCTTACCATAACATGCTATTTTCACGAAGCGGAAATCATGGGACCAAATCCCTTTACTTGTGCGTTGTGATTTTCTTCTTCTCCATTTGCACGAATCTTAAAGCAAATCTAACGGTTTTCAAAATTACATGAAAGTTACACATCGGTTACAGTGTAGTTACATATAAGCTAGAATTTAATTACACTACTATTGTACTATATTTACATTTGATAAACTTTTAGAAGAAAATATATCGGCAAATGTATAGATATTCCCATCTATATTTATATCTGTTAGTAGTTTCTTTTAAGAGAATTTGTCGAGGAATATATAGGTAGTTTTTTTTTTCCCTTTGAGAGGAACTTTGGAGAAGATGTACATATATGTCACGACCACGGTCCACGGGTACTGCTGACGGCCCAAAGTGTTGGCCCGGCCCATCTCTGCTCGCTTGCGACGCCAGAGCCCACCGATTGCCTCACGGGCTCACGCCCGTCCTGCTCACGCGGCAGAGGGAGGCGAATTCGCAATCGGAATTTGGATTGGAAGCAGGCGACAACAAATCGAGGGGGACAGGGGCGTAGATAATTTCGAACCGAAAAAAGGAGAAAAAGACGGGAAAAAAAAAACAGACGAACCAGCGAGAGAGAGATGCAACGAGCTTGAGGCGATCTCGACCGCCACCATCCATCCATCCTCCGCGAGACCGCGACCCGCCGTCGCCTCCAGATCGTGCTCCGCCCAGGTACGCGGTTTCATTTTTTTTTTAAATATATTTTCTTCGGTTAGTTGTTGCGGCCTCGCTGGGATTTGGGGATTTTCGGCCCAATCTCGCTTGTGGCAGTCCCCTCCCGCCGCAGCGGCGGTTCTCGATAGGCGGAGGCCCCTCCCCTGATCTCGCGTGGAGCGGAAGGGAGATCCATGATCCATCTAGGGTGATTTGTTTTTACTGGTAGTTTTGATCTGTTGTTCCAAGAACGATTTTGTTCTTTGCTGTGTGCAATCAAATACGTATCTCAGTATTTAATAAGACACCCAAATCCATCATATCACTTGTGTGGATTTAATCGATTTAGTTCTAATAGCAGCTTATTTCCCCAAATTTTTGGTTCACGCCCCACTTTAAGACTTCTCCTAAGAGATGGGGTGCAGTACAAGATTGTTAATTCGATGTTAGAACAGCCATTTACATTTCTTCTATTGATTTTCAGATGGGTGAAATATTGATGATGTATTTGTATTTTAGAGGGGGGTATCATTACCCTGCCATTTTGTAGCTGGAGTTATGATTTTTCTCTCTGTCGAGTTGAACCAATTTTAGTTCTTTAACAGTAGTAGTAGGTCATAGGTACTGATTTCCTTATAATTTACAAAGACAAAATATCTCATCTTTAGACCCCCATTTGTTGCAAGTTCATATATTCTGTTTTGAATCAACTCTAGCAAGCGGTGGATTTCACGATAAGTAGAAAGTACTGATTATTATTTGCACTTGAATAATTATATCTGGAAGCTAGAATTGAGTATTCAAGGAAGCATGCTCTTTGAAGAAAGTATTCACTTGATCCAGTCCAGTTTGTTGTTTACTTCTACATTTCTTTCTTTGGCAATATATTTGGGAGCAGCTTGTGAATCCAGTGAAAATGGTCCAGACCATCATTGTTACTTACACTTCATGACCTCGTTCCTTCACCAACCAGATTAAGGATTCCAGCATCCACCTCCATGTTGGCCATCATCTTGTGGGTTCTGGTGCCAAGCACCTGCTGCATGTTACTACAGAAACAGTTCCCCTTTTCTTTTCTTTTTTACTGCAGACCAAATTTTCCTGCTAAGTTTATTTGTTCTTTCTAAAACAAATCTTACTTACTGGTTCTTGTTGTAAGGCAGCTCTTTTCATAACATCTCTGTATCTTGTAGGAAGTGTTGGAGAATTTTAATCATAAATTGACATGTAAAGGAGAGGAGGCAAGCTATCTGTAACTGAAATAGTTTCGGTGGGATACCATGGTTGACATAAACCCTGATCACATCTTTGAGGTTCCGGACACCCCTGACCGAATACAGCAGTCAACATGCCCTGTATCTAGCCCAGCTGCTAGGAGAGGTATTGCAAAAGCAGCTGGAACTCCATTACCATCGCGAAGAATTAAATTTAAGATCACAAATAACTCCATCCAGGGTCAATCAAGTAGAGGCAATGCAAGTAGTGTGTCGCCTGCACCTTTAGATGCTGGCGATATTTTTAAACAAGCCGAGTTGGCACGATTGCTGCCAGTGGCAGAAGATCCTGAAGCAAGATCATCCTTGCTAAAATCAGGTCGGACGATAGAGACATCTGTTGAGAATGAAAAGGTGCCAAAAAAATCTGGTTTGGATCAGAGCATGAATATTTCAAACAATATAAATTGCAGGGGCTCTGGAGAAAGGGACCGTAGTTGCCAAATCAGAAAAGGGGATATTAGTGCACGGGATGCCAATAGCTGCAATGCTGACTTTCTCTGTTTAGGATCAGGTCTTCCTACTACTACGGTGGGAAAACCACGAAACAGAATGGGGACTATCACCTTTAAGAAGCCGAAGGAAGTAGTAGGTGCTAATGTCTGTTCAGTATCGAGTCCTAGAGAGGGCAAAGGGGAAGAGATCACTGACAAGGGCACAACAGGAATTTCAAGCTCTACACCAAGCATTGTTCCTCAAAGGCATGTGGGCCAAAGAAAGCTGGTGCGGAATGGTTGTATTTCTCCCTCCAACATAGCCAAAAGAAGTCTGAAGGTTGATGAAAAGCGAGAAATATGCTCTACAAGTGGACTCTTACACTATCCAGATACTCAGGTTGATGCTTCTGGGAAGGGAAATGTGATAGATCTTACTGATAGTTCACCTATAATAAGAAGGCAGGGAAACACTGCAACTGACATGGAAAAAAGGTCAGGGAGAAAGTCGGCAATAGGCAGAGCTGGGGAGACGGTAATTCCACTGGCTGCAAATCAAGTGAACAGTATTTTTTCTGAAGGTAACAAGAATAAAGGAAAAGAAATTTCCCATGATGTCGTGGGTGCTAAGCAGTCTGGAGAGGCTTATATGAGGAGGTATGTCCTGTCTCTTTTTTCCTATGGGCATTGTCAGTTCATTTCATTTATATCTAGGATGTATCAATATGAGTACAAGATATGGAGGAAATGTTTTTGTTTAAAAGAACTGTGAATTTGCGATAAGGTAAATTCTGGCTTTTAGGGTAGTAATTTTATTGGTTGAATTTAAGTTTACAAAATTCTTGTGCATGTGGTTACAATTTGTGAACTTTTGAAAATTGTAAGCAGGAGATGCTAATTCTTTTTACAAATCTTTTTTTTTCAGCAAAATAACCTTCCTTTAAAATCATACAGTATGACTAAACTAGTTTTGCTCCATTGTTGGACTTACAAAAATGCATGATTAATTTGTTGCTATGTTTAGATTATTGCATGTCTAGAACCTTTACCTGCACTTTCACTATTGTTAGGGTTTGTCCAAGATCCATGGGAGATTCTTCTTCCGTTGCAAACAATGATCACACCGGTATAGGTTCTGAGCAAGGTTGGAGAACAACGCACAATAATACTAGTAATATACCCATGCCACTATCAGGTAAGATGACCAATAGTTGTGGAAGAGAATCTGGATCTTCTGAACAGTCTAATCTGGATCGAGCATCTGCAGCAGGAGACAGCAATAACTCAATTGAGGGAGGAGACAACAATAACTCAATTGGTGGAGCAAAAACATTGCAGACTGCTAGTTTTGTTAATAGAACAATAAGGATCAGTAGCAGAAAGAGGAAGCGCATCGCAAGTTCTTACCATCCTGGTGAAAGCTCTAGCTCTGTTGATGTTGATCAACCTAGAGTTGCATCATCAGACTCAACAGCTGCTAGAAATCATACCACTCACCGTCATCATATTCCTGTAGTAGATATTGATGACATATGCTCTCCTGAAGTAAGGCCTAGTTTGAGTGGGATTGGTAGCAGCAATCGGACCTCAGTGGATCCCAACATAAGAGAACAGTTGGAGTCTGATGAGTTATTGGCTCGCCAACTTCAGGAGCAGCTTTACAATGAAACTCCTCATGTTGTTCCCACAGAAGAGGTGTAATTCCTGACTCTCTCTCTCTCTCTCTCAAAATACTTTTGCGAGCTGTACAATGATATTTTATTTTAATAAAGCAGATTGATGCGATCATAGCAATGTCACTTCAACATGAAGATAATGCGCAGCCGACATCTAGAACTGCGAGGCGGTTCCAAAGCACTACAGTAAGAGCACCTTGCTGTTCATCTTTACTTTCTCCATATCCACAGCGTGCCTGTGTGAATGAGGGTCGGGTCTCATAGTTGTTGCTCCATTCGTCAGTAGTATGCCATCCACACATCTGTTAGCTTTCTATAGCACACACTGCTGTTGTCTTTACTATGTGAGATCACAGTTGCCGAAAATGAAATTACAGGAATCCTTCAGTTTGCACAAGTTATGACAGTTCATGCTGCCCATAACAAACCAGCCTTTTCTTGTGGTTGATCCAAATGATGGGCTTTGTTTTATGACAGAGTTCCTTGAATGTGTTGTTTAACAATACACTAATCTGTTGACATTGACATGTTTTCTCTTTTCCTTGTTCCTTTTTGTTAGAGAGGTCCAAGGGTATTGCGTTCAACTGTTCCTCAGCATGCTAATAGGGTTCGATATGACTCAAACAACAGAAGAATAATTTACCAGGTATGCTACCCTAATAACTTTGGGAGTGGTATTTCTTTCTCTTGCCTGTAACAATATTATTGCCTATAAAACTTGATACTACTTCTGAACAGGAAAAATCTTTTGGTTTAAAAAGTCAACTGTCATTTATCTTGCTTTGCTTCCATGTCATGTGCATTACAGTATAAACTAAATTCTAGTTCTTAACCTATTGTAAAATGTGCCAAATAGCTTAAGGACGCTATGAAGTTTGTTCTATGTTTTTTTTTATTTGTGACATACACTGAAATTTGGAAGGGCAAATATTTAGGTTTTTTATATGTCCTTCTATAGCCAATAAAGCGTTTATTTTATGGCTCAAAACTGACACTGATTTCAACCGTCGTTTTGTACTTTAGCTCTGTTTGAGCTTTTCAGTAGATTCAATAAATTTCATATTTTATCAAACTGGTTGATTTCATCTCTTTGTAGTATTTGATCCCCTCATGCATTTCCTGTCCTTTACAAAGGAAACAAGATCCCCTTTTGTGTTACCTAACGGTTGGGTTGTGTGTATGATTGAGAGGCTGCCCCTTATACATTGTTGTGTAGTAGATTACTTCAGATTAAGTAAAGCCTTTCATCACATTTACAGTTGGTGGTTCTTTTATTGAAATGATTCCGAAAGATAATTAACAGCTTCTAGCCAACATTTTTGCAGAGAGCTCTTTCCAGATACCCTGCTGCACATATTCAACCTAATATTGATCTGTAAGTGACTTTCTCCTGTTGTTACTTCCATTGCTTTACCTGCTGTGCTTTTCACCGAATATCATAGCTGGTTCATATAAGTTGTCATCCAACTTGAATATTTCTTTGATAATCTTTATTTACTTGTTTTGCTGGGTGACTTTCTTCTATGCCTGTGAAAAGTAATAGTGCTAGTATACAGTAATGATAGGGAAGTATATACCGTGATACCATTTTGCTGATATTAACGAGTTTTATTTGATTGGAAAATTTGATATTTTTTTTAACTAAAGGAAGTTTCCTTGCAGAAATGATTATGATGCACTGCTTGCATTAGATGAAAATAACCACCAGCATGCTGGTGCTTCAGAAAGCCAGATCAATAATTTGCCTCAGTCAGTAATCCAGGTAAAATATTTGAGTAGGATTCACAACATATTGCTTTTTTACTGTTTGTTTGCTTTGAAAGTCCTAACTAGTATGGGTTTTCTGCTTTGAACAGTCAAATATTGAAGAGCCGTGTGCAGTTTGCCTTGATAATCCCTCTATTGGTGATACGATCCGCCGCTTGCCATGCTTTCACATGTTCCATAAAGAAGTATGCAGTGTGATTGTTATATATCATTGATATTTGCTGAATCCTGTTGCATTTCTTTCTTCTTTTTTTTTTGAGAGTGAATCCTGTTGCATTTCTGATGTCATCTGTTTGCACTCTGCAGTGCATAGACGAATGGCTAAGAAGGAAGAAACTATGTCCAGTTTGCAAGTCTGGGATCACATAAAGGTGACAATTCGGTTCCATGAATATTCTGCCCTTAGACTCAAGAAAACAGAAGGAAGTCGCCTGCAACAGTGGTTGCGTTTCTATCTTTAGACGACAGTGGTATCGGCGGGAGGTTGCGCAATCTTGTAGAGCCTTGTTCTAATTGCCTTCGGTGCTAATTCTCTGTTTTGTGGGTTTAGGCACGATATTTTGTATATCCATGTGTTTTATTCATCAACTGGCATAAAAGGTCATTATCGATTGATTGCTTATCAGCCAATGAGATATGCTGTCATTGCAAGACATGACGAAAATGTGCGTTGTCCATCACATATGCAAGTTATGCCTGCAAGGTCTGGAGAGCATAACAGGCATGTTGCTAGTCACACGTGAGTATCTTTTATATTCGCTGCGGACGCTGTGTAGCTCACTCGGAAGAAGATTTTAGTACTCTGTTCGATCCCCTAGCTCACGCTGATAGGACACTCTCGAAATAGATTTTCGAGAGTAATTACGAGCTTATGGATGACCTATCTTAGAGTGCAAATGATGTTCCGGTGTGAAGGCAATGTGGAAGCTCACTGCACCTCCCAAGTTGCATTAATCTGGGGCGGATCTCGTTGATACGCTCCTTCGAAACGCATGAAATTTTTAGAAAATTTTACAGTCACCAGTTAAATTCCTTCAAAATTCCCATGAATTTCCTCCAAACCGTATAGGCCCTGAATGCATCCAAACGTACGTTGATCATTCCGATGAGAGTAATGGCCCCGGTTTTCAGGATTTATTGATAAGTTCAATAAAACTTTTCTTCAAAAAAGGACATCAAGCGCACCAGTGGTCTAGTGGTAGAATAGTACCCTGCCACGGTACAGACCCGGGTTCGATTCCCGGCTGGTGCATTTTTTTTCTCGCTGTAAACGATCCCACATTTTTACACGGAATAAGTCTACTTTTTCTATTTCATCTGCTCTCTTGCTTATAAACGGTTTGGTCCACCTGACACTCATAAGATCCACATGTCACTGAGAGAAAATAATAGCTTCACAAATTAGTTGTCCTAACATCCGTTTTCTTTTTATTCACCCTTTTATGTCCCCTCTCTCTCCCATTCTCTCCCTCTCTAGGCGGCGGTTGTGAAGGTGAGCGAAAATGGCTTCGACAAAAGGGAGAGGAGCACTGAGGAGTGAGTGGGGGAGGGAGGGGCAGGAGAGTAGTAGGAGGAAGGATTGGAACCACACGTGTAGTCCGTGAGGTCCTCCCCACGTGTGTAGCTGGGCAATGAGCTTATCCTCCCACGCGTGCTGGAGCCAGTCAAGTCCTCCCCACGTGCGTGGTCGCCGACGAGCTTCTCCTCCCGCACGCACTAGAGCTGGCCAAGTCCCCAGAAGCCCACGCCTTGCAGCCAGCCGGCGAGTTTCTCTCCCGCGTGCCACCCATCTTAATGTAACGCCTCTTGGTGATGACACCATGGAGACAAGCCCAGCAGTAGAGAGGGATGTCATGGTAGTGATCGTGTCCTCCCGCCCGTTTGTCCCTCCCCTGCCTCGCGCTCGTGTGGCTCCATGTTCTCTTCCCCAAAACCTCGCCACTGTTACCCCAACAATGCTAACCGGTGTCACCGAGAGAGGGGAGGAAAAAGAAAAGGAGATTAAGATGACTGGCATGTGGGACTGTTAATTTTTTATTTTTCTTCACTAACATGTGGGTCTCATAAGTGCCACATAGGACGAAATCACTTTTGAAACCACCGAGGAGTCAATTTACACCGGTTTTTGAATATGTGGGAGGTGTTATACCAGTTCTACGATTGAGACTTGAGAAAGACGATTCATCTAGGGTCAGGGTCAGGAGATGAGGGAGACAAATATACTTATTCCTTTTTAGCGCAACCTGATAGTGTCTCATATGGGTCCTAGCACCGCCTTTCGTACTCTTAGCAGATGATTGATTGCTTACTACCTTTTCCAAACTACACTTTAAGTAAGACATGCCTGACATAGAATATGCTAGCCATGACTTAGCCAAAGTTAACTAAAAATCCAAGTCTATGATGTGGGGCCATACGAAGAAATAGTATGGTTAGCCATAGTTATAACACCAATCAAATAAATACTGTAAAACTAATACAAGTCTATGACATGTGGGACACTGGGACCATTTTTAAAGGAAAATATAACTTATATCATCAACCAAATAAATAGCTACGGAATTGTGACACTGACAAGTTACGGCAAATGCAACCAAACTTCCCTTTAATCGCGCGTCGCACCACCCGCTCCCCAACAAAATTGCTCTCCAACAAAATGGGACTGCGCGCGCTTACAGATAGCCCGGTCAAAAAGGCAAGCGCTCCGGCCGCACGCACGTACAGGACGCAGGGGTCGCGGGATCAAGAATCCGGCGAGTCAAAGGGATCGAGCAGTTACAGTTATCACCACGACTCGATTCGGCGATTCCGCGAGGGCCACCGCGCGCGTCGGTCTCTCTATCTATCGGATATACTCACACTGGCAATCGGCAAAGCGTCACTCGAGCGTGCGCGTGCCAGCCTAAGCCCCCGCATTGAATTGCCACGCCACGCGCGGGTGGACGGGAAGGGAGGGGAGCGTCCTCAGTAAAATCGCCCGGCTGCCGCAGCGCGCCTGCCACTTTGCTCGTCGTCCGTGGTGGAGGCGCGGTGGGGTGGGGAAGGAGTGTGTTTCGTGTGCTGTGCTGGGCTCGCGCGGCTCTCGTCCCGGGCTCCCGGCAGCCTGGGGTTTCTCTCCCCGTTTCTGTTTCTCGGTGAGGTGAAGTTTTCCGTCTCAGCACACTGCCAGTTCTTCTTCTTGTTCTTCCTACTCGTGGCGCCGCGGCGTCCTCACGGATCGCAAGGTCGGGAATTATCTGGGGTTCTCGGGGTTTGTGGCTCCTTTCCGGTGAAAGGATTCTTTTTTAGCGGGAGATCGGTTGAGTCGGTTTCTTCTGTAGATCTTATCGTTGAGATTTCGTTGTTTATGTTAGGCGAGTCGGGGTGAGACTTATCCGCGTTCCTCCCTGCGATGAAACACGCGATTTTGGATTGTCGTTACGTTTAGGGATTGTGGTTTTAAGGCTGTTCTTCCGTTGTAAATGTTGGTTGCGCCATCCTATAAAAGAAAGGGACTCCTGTCGAGAAACACACCATGCTTCTTCTGTCCTGAAGGTTTGGAAAGGCACATTCTGAGGAGATTTTTCTGTCCTACATCGTAGGTATCGAGATTCATCTCTATCTTCCCTGATTTTATAATCGATTGATGCCGCTCACAGTTTTATATGATGTGATCCAAACAAGTATAGCAATCATGATGTTTGAAACAGTGAACCATCATTCGTATTATGAAACTTCTGTTACTGAACAGAATAAATAGTTTGCTGGGTTTCTTAATCTATGGCACTTCTTCGTTGTTGCGATTCATAGTATTATTATAGGTCCTACATTGACAAATCTTCTATTTAATTCTGTAGCATTTTAATTCTGTGTAATAATACAGGACAATTTATGTTTCATTCCTGCGTGACCAATCTAATCTGAACCTACGTTGGGTGCGCAAAAGCCCTTGAATGCAATGGAAGGGGGTGCAACTCTAGCTGATAAGGCTGAATTTAAGGAATGTCTGCGGCTGACCTGGAGCCAGCCTTACATTCTTCAGCTTGTTTTCTCTGCCGGCATCGGTGGTCTTCTTTTCGGATATGATACAGGTACTGTTACATGGCATAGGCTACAACAAAAATAATTTACTGAATTTTGTCAAAGTTCAAGTTTTGCTATTATGTCCTTTTCAATTGTCCATTTATTTACTTTTTAAGTATCTCTGTAGTCTATTAAGTATCATAATGTTGTTTATGTTTCCAAACATTTAGCTCCACTTTGGAAATGCAACACAGATGACAAATTTCGATTCTTTTTAATTAATCTACTGTTTTGCTAGGTGTCATATCTGGAGCACTTCTGTATATTCGAGATGATTTTACTGCGGTCGAAAAGAGCACTGTACTTAGGGTACATTTGGCTTCTCCTGATTCTCACTTTGATTTAACTTTTCACTTTCCGTAGTACAACTGCTTTTCTTCAGAATACAGCATTCCGTGTTGACAAAATCTGATGGGATTTGCCCTGATCTGAAATGCAGGAAACGATAGTGAGTATGGCTGTAGCTGGAGCCATAGTTGGAGCAGGATTTGGTGGCTGGATGAACGACAAGTTTGGAAGGAAGCCTTCCATCTTGATCGCCGATTCCCTGTTCCTCGCAGGTGCCTTGATCATGGCCCTTGCCCCAACACCGTTTGTCATCATTATTGGGAGGATCTTTGTTGGTCTTGGGGTTGGAATGGCTTCCATGACAGCACCTTTGTACATTTCTGAAGCCTCTCCAGCTAGAATCAGAGGTGCACTTGTGAGCACAAATGGACTTCTTATTACCGGAGGGCAGTTCATGGCATACCTCATTAATCTGGCCTTCACTAAGGTTACTCACCTGTGTACACTGAAAGCTCGTGCTGTACCATGTCTTTTTCAAGGTGCAGCAGTAATCATATCTCAATGACTCTGTCAGGTAAAGGGAACATGGAGGTGGATGCTTGGCATTGCAGGTCTTCCTGCTTTTATTCAGTTCATATTGATGTGTATGCTACCTGAATCACCAAGGTGGCTATACAGACAGGTCAGTATTTATGTACAGATGCTTTGCTTAAAGAAAAAAAAATGTACATACGTGTTTAGTTCATTGTTACATGGAAACGTAGATGTACAAGGGAAGTACATTGTTACATATGCACAAATCACAAGTAAATTTTGTAGCAAATTTGACTCTGTCAAGCTAAAAGATTGTGCTGGAAATTACTGAATTCTGCACAGGATAGGAAAGAGGAGGCTGAAGCCATATTAAGGAAGATTTACCCCGCGGCTGAGGTTGAAGAAGAGATCGATTCGATGCGCCGATCAATTGAACATGAGAAACAACTGGAGGGCTCCATCGGCGAGCAGAGTCTGGTTGGCAAGCTGACGAAGGCACTGAGCAGCAAGGTCGTCCGCCGTGGGCTCATGGCCGGCGTCATCGCGCAGGTCGCCCAGCAGTTCGTCGGCATCAACACCGTCATGTACTACAGCCCGACGATCGTCCAGCTGGCCGGCTTCGCGTCGAACAACACGGCCATGGCGCTGTCCCTCATCACCTCGGGCCTCAACGCCATCGGGTCCATCGTCAGCATGTTCTTCGTGGACAGGGCCGGCCGCCGTCGCCTGATGATCATCAGCCTCGTCGGCATCGTCCTGTGGCTCGCCGTGCTCGGCGGCACGTTCCTCGGCGCCGCGCACCACGCGCCGCCGGTCAGCGACCTGGAGACGCGGGTGTTCGCCAACCAGACGTGCCCGGAGTACAGCCCGAGCGCCCGCTGGAACTGCATGAACTGCCTCAAGGCCCAGTCCACCTGCGGCTTCTGCGCCCACGGAGGAAACAAGGTACTAACATTCTTGTCTCTTGATGTTGTTCTTGCTGTTCTTGCCATTGATATGAGAAGTGAGCTTTCTGGACGATCGAGCAGCTCCTCCCCGGCGCGTGCCTGGCGGCGGGCGAAGCGTCGCGGCGGACGTGCCACGCGGGGAACCGGGAGTTCTACACGGAAGGGTGCCCCAACAACTTCGGGTGGCTGGCGCTGGTGGCGCTCGGCGCGTACATCGTCTCCTACTCCCCGGGCATGGGCACCGTGCCATGGATCGTCAACTCGGAGATCTACCCGCTGCGGTTCAGGGGCGTCTGCGGCGGCATCGCGGCGGTGGCCAACTGGGTGTCCAACCTCATCGTCACGCAGACGTTCCTGAGCCTCACCAAGGCGCTGGGCACGTCGGCCACCTTCTTCCTCTTCTGCGCCGTCTCCTTCTTCGCGCTCGTCGTCGTCTTCTTCACCGTGCCGGAGACCAAGGGACTGCAGTTCGAGGAGGTGGAGAAGATGCTCGGGGAGAAGGACTACAAGCCGTGGAAGAGATACCGTCCCGACGTGTCGTCCAAAGGGCGCGACATCGGCCTCTCTGTTCCATGAAAGGAAGAAGAACAGTGTTTGGTTTCAAGTTATTTGGGTTTTAACTAGCAATAATCTGTACTCAGTTTACATGTAGAGTGGCCGTTGCCAATAGAAATTAATCAGTTGTTTCATTGTGTGACACATTTTAGAGCCTTTTCCCCTGTGCTTAGAACGTTTGATGATTTTTATATAAGTAAATTGCGTCTTGGTCACCTTTTTCTTATCGAAATTTGACCACTTTTATCTTATATTTTTACTTTCGACTAGGCTTTTCTCTTTTTATTTTTGGTGTTTTGGATCACCTAAACTCTTTTATCTAACCACATATAACATTTCTCGGATAAAGATGTGAGTTGTACGTAAATAGATAAAATATTCGGTATGAGGATGCTAATGTGCTTGAGGATGTTGATAACTAATTCCGTTTAGATGGCCTATAGTACAAAAATAATAACAATAGCTAATTCAAAGTGAAAAGAATGCAAATGATTGAAAGTACAATTCACTCTTTTTTACTTTATGTTTCAGCATTCGGTTTGTGCTGATAAAAGGTTCACGTAGGAATTGGGCCGCTTTTGTGCGGGTTTGGTACATTTGGCAGTGGGAAAAAGTACACCGAAGGTCCCTCAACTTGTCATAGTGACACGAAAACGTCCTCGAACCGCAAAACCAGATATGCTGGGTCCTTTAACTACATAAAACCGGACACCCGAGGTCTTTTTGGTGGTTTTAACCCTGGTTTTGGTCTACGTGGCGGCTGAGTCAGCGTGGGACCCACATGTCAGGTCTCCACGTCACCCTCTCTTTCCCCTCTTATCTCCCTTCCTCCTCTCTCTCTCGCGTGCACGTGGAACACCGGGAACCTTCTGCCGCGCCGCCCACAGGAAGAACGGGAACGCGAGCGGCGGCGGCGGTGGCGGGCGAGTGCTGAGGACCTCGGCGACGAGCTTGGGAGCCACACGACGGAGCTTGGAGAGGTCCGCGACGACGGGCGGGCCCCAACGCTGGTGGCGGCGGAACGCGTCGAGGAGGAACCGCGCGAGCGGGGAGAGGCGGCTGGCGGCCGCGGTGGCGGAAGGCGAAGGCGGGGAGGAGGAGGAGGAGGAGGAGGAGGAGGAGGAGGGGGAGGCCGCGACGGCCTCGGTTGGGAGGAGTAGGCGGTGGCGCGGAGGTCGGCGAAGACGCCGCCTCGGTTGGGAGGAGGCGGTCGTGGCGCGGTGGCCGTCACCCCCGACGGGTCGCTCACTGCCTCGCTCTCCCACCCGTCCCGCCTCCATCCGCTCCTGCTCCGCCTCTCCGCGCTGCCCCTGCACGCGCTCCGCCTCCGGATTGACGAGGACTACTCGTCCAACACGCCGCCGCTTCCAGGTTCCCGACGTGGCGACGAGGCGACGCGTTCGGCCGCTGAGAAGGAAGAAGCGCAGTGGCGGCGCTCGGCTCCTCGCTGTCGCCTCCCCGGTCCCATCTTTGGCCGCCGTGGAGCCGGCCACAGCGGCCGCCACCGCCGCAGCCGTCGCCGGCCGTCGTCACGGCGCCGCCCTCCTCCTCTTCCGCCTCGCCCCGCCGAGCTCCGGGCCAGCCACCGCCCTTCACCGCCGGAGTCGCGACCACCGTCGCCTCGCGTTGCTCGGCGCGAGTGAAGGGGAGGAAGAGAGAGTGTCATACTGATATGTGGGTCCCACGCTGACTGAGCTGCCACGTAGAACAAAACCGGGGTCAAAAACCGCCGAGGGACCTATTTTGATCGGTTTTGTATAGTTAAGGGGAATATATATATATCTAGTTTTGCGGTTATTGGACGATTTTGTATCCGGATGACTAGTGAGGTACCTTCGGTGTACTTTTTCCTTTGGCAGTGGTGGCCATTTGAGAAAATCTTATTCACCCGCCGCCAAAACTCAATTGACAGCCCAGTTGCTTTGCCTCCCCGAAACAACTCGCACTTAACTTGGACCACGCGCTGCAAAGCCTGCAAGGCTGCAACGCATCGTGCCGTGGTTCCCATCTTTCTCCCAACGCCAAGGGGCGAAATGTAGAAAAAACGTGAAGCCGAGCATTTCTTTTTGCGCCTGGCATATCCCTCGCGCGACTAACGCCAGAACCCGCGGCGTCGTGGCACAAACACCTACACGGCTACACCTCATGAGTCATGATGATCCGTGGGTTCGTTAGGCAGAGCGCGCGTTGCCTCCGGTAGGCTTTGTAGCCAAAGTTGTCACGGTGCGGCAGCACACGCTGGTTAAGTATCGCGATCCAAGAAAGCAAAGCACGGTTTTCTCCGGTGCTTTCCGCATCAAGCGCGCACACGCGACGCGACGGTTCCTGTAGTTTCCGCATCGACCACATCCTCGCGACGTCGCGTCGCGCAAGCTAGCCGGCCGATAACTCTGGTGCGGTCCCCGCATCACTACTGTTAGTTTCACGCATGTGGCAAAATGGTAGAGACGGCCACCGTTTTCTCCTTTCGCGTTGCGTCCGCGATCCGATCGATCGATAACGACGTGACACGTGCACATATCCCCCATCCGTCAATCCAATCCGATGCGTCTCCCGTTCATACTTCATACATCGACGAAGCACGGAAGAGAGAACGGGAGAGCTCCAGGTGTGCGCACACCGCTAACACAGCTAGCGACACACGCCAGCTCTCACGTACTTTGCGTGTTCACCCCAGGCACACTGGCTCGCCCCCATGCTGCAACTCAAGCTAGCCTGCACGCTGCACCGTCGTCGTCCATGCTGCTCTCTCCTCGCGTATAAGAACAGGGGCGCTGCTGGGCCGGGCGTTTGCAATTTTGCAAAGCGAGAATTCCACACAGGTTACACCAGTATATACGCATCTTGCTAAACCGACTACTGATCGAGATCGCTATGGCGGAGGAGGCGGCTAGCAAGGCAGCGCCGACCGATGCGCTGTCGTCCGTGGCGGCGGAGGCGCCGGTGACGAGAGAACGGCCGGTCCGAGCGGACTTGGAAGTGCAGATTCCGAAGCCCTGTGAGTATCTGTTTGCCTCGATGAGATCGGTTACAGCTTTAGTTTTGTCTGTCGATCTAGTTCTAGTTCTGAATTCGGCTGAACAACGATTCTGATCGCAGATTTGGCCCGAGCTCTGGTTGCTCCGGACGTGTACCATCCTGAAGGAACCGAGGGGCGTGACCACCGGCAGATGAGTGTGCTGCAGCAGCATGTGGCTTTCTTCGACCTGGATGGCGACGGTATCGTTTATCCATGGGAAACTTATGGAGGTACATACTACAAAACATATAGCTCCATTGTTGCTGCGGAAAAAAAAATTAAACGGCTATTATTGTTCAGCCGAATAAAATATTTGTATATATCGGAAGATCATTCAGCCCGATAGAATCATATTCTACAGTATTCATACGTCTCTTTTGTTGTCACGGCGGTATCTCCGTTTCACCTTCACAATATTAGTCCGAACATTACTTGTTGAGGGGTACAAAACCTTTGATGAAAAGGTGTAAAAATTACACAGGACTACGGGAATTGGGCTTCAACGTGATTGTTTCGTTCTTTTTGGCGATAGCCATAAACGTTGGTCTAAGCTACCCAACTCTGCCAGTAAGTCCAAAAGTAACTTTTTTTTTGGGGTTTCTACCAAGAAGATGCCAAGATGGTATACATTTCTCTGCACTAGACATTGAAAATTTGATCGACCGTGCAGAGCTGGATACCATCTCTCCTGTTCCCTATACACATAAAAAACATCCACAGGGCTAAGCACGGCAGCGATAGCTCGACGTACGACAACGAGGGAAGGTAAACCATCGTCGACCCATTGCACACTGCTAGTTGTTGTAGACTTGTAATAATCCAGTACTTACACGGTGACATTTCATTGCCTTTTTTGTCCTGAAACTACGAAAGGTTTATGCCGGTCAATTTCGAGAGCATCTTCAGCAAGAACGCCCGCACGGCGCCGGACAAGCTCACGTTCGGCGATATCTGGCGGATGACCGAAGGCCAAAGGGTGGCGCTCGACTTGCTTGGGAGGTGAGAACAGCTGATCAACACTCCTATATATGCAGCAACGATACTTACCTAGCGATTTCTTTGCCGTTCGTTCTCTGAATGCTTCCTACCTCTGCATGCTGAATTGCTGGTGTAAATACATGCATGTGTGCGTTCAGGATCGCGAGTAAGGGGGAGTGGATATTGCTCTACGTGCTTGCGAAAGATGAGGAAGGATTCCTCAGGAAGGAGGCTGTTCGCCGCTGCTTCGATGGGAGCCTATTCGAGTCGATTGCCCAGCAGAGAAGGGAGGCACATGAGAAGCAGAAGTAGCCTCCTAATTTCATCGTCCCGGGACCTGGGATGTGCTTGATTGCTTGTGTGTGTTGTTGTGTGGACTATAGCTATAGCCACATCATGTTTGTCCATCTGAAAAAACAATGGAAATAAGGTTTACCGGTTGGAACATACATTATGTACTATCCATGTGATTATTGAAATGTGTCTGTAACCTGAAAGTGTGATTGACATATAAAATTCTGTGATTGAAGTAAAGGTAAGCATTACTAAATGTGTATTTTGATTAGTACTCCCTCCACCGGATGATAGAAGAGAGTATGCTCCCTTTTTTTTCAAAAGTGAGAAAGTGGAAAAAGGACAAAGCATAGTATAAAGGGGAAATTGCGAAATCCTCCCAATAAATCACTTGAAATTTGATATTTCATCTCATGTATCAATTTGTTGTAAATGCCCACGTATTATTCAGTTTGCAACAGAACTAAGTAGGTGTGTAGGCATTTGCAACAAAAATGATTTATGAGGTAAAATATCAAACTTCAAGTAACTTATGGGTATAAAATGTAATGGTTGAAGAATAAATTAGTACAAAAGCTGGTAGGGAAATATTCTAGTAGAAAATATCGTGGGTGGGGAATAAAAGTACAAAAGATGATATATGCAATGAATAAATTATCTCGGGAATATATAATCCGTTAATTATGAGATAAAATTAAAGGATATAATCCTTTATATTTTAATACGGATGAGTGTCATGTAAGTCTAGCGCGTTATATTCACTAATTTTGTATAATTATTATTTCCTTAAAAATTGAAAGAAAATGGGATGTCCCCTACCTTGGCATGTAACTCTGTATATTATATATCTCATATTTCTACCCAGAGTTCTTCTCTCTTCTCTCTTGTTCGGTTAATTTTTCTCAATAGTTTTGAGAGGGATTATAAAAAACAATTCCACGTTTATTAAATTCCATCCAACTTAATCCAACCAACCTATCTATTGGGACTAATCTGCCTTAACGAGGCATCGATGGGACCATGGGCTGCAAAATGCACACCTGAACGGTTGGACCAAGAATTTCCTTAGCCTGCCATACTTGGAAAAAGTACACCGAAGGTCCCTCAACTTGCCATCGAGTTATAAAATCATCCTTGAACCGTAAAACCGGTTTCAACACACCCCTCAACTTACAAAACTAGTGTAAATTAGGTCCCTCGGCAGTTTTTGACTCCAGTTTTATCCGATGTGACAGTTGACTCAGCGTGGGACCCACGTGGGCCCCACATGTCAGCCTCTTCATCCCCTCCCCTCTCCACCTCTCTTCCTCTCTCCTCTTATTCTCTCACTAGCAACCCAGTCGGTGGGTGGGGAGGAGGCCGGTGGGGAGGCGGGAGTCCGGTGGCGAGGCGGCGGCGACAGGCGACGACGCGACGGTGGTGGCGACAGGCGGCGATGACGCGGGAGCAAGAGGGCCTCCACCCACGCCACCGCCACTGCAGTCGCCGACGGCGCGGGTGCCAGATCCCGCCGTCATGGCTCCTTGTTGACCCCCGGCGCTGGCGGTAGAGACGACCGGTGGAGGCGGGTCGGCGTCGATAGGGAGTGGCACGGCGGAGGCTGCCCAAGGTGACGGTGCGGTGGGCGAATGTGGTCCTGCTGATCAACAGGAACTCAGCGACGGCTAGACTCCAGCCGCGACGTCGAGGCGGACTCGCCCCCGAGAGAAATCCGCCGTAGCCGCCGGCGCCCGTCCCCAGTCCAGTCGACCTCAATGCCCCTGGACCGTCAGCCGGTACCCGGTGACCGCCTGGCCACCACTCTCGCCGGTCCCGCCGCCGACTCCCGCCGGTCTATCCCGTCTGCGCCGGCCTTGGCGTCCACCTCCGCTCTCGCTGCTCCAGGGAGAGGTCCGCCACCAGTCTCCATCACTGCCCGTGGGATTCCGTCTCGCCACCGCAGCCTGGCGGGCTCGTGGCGCCGCCGTCGCTTGAGCCACCACACCGCCGGACACCGGATCTCCTCCTCCATTGTCACACCCCAATCGGGCACCGCCGTACAACGACACCTGATAGGAGCGTGTCGTAGGAAAAACGGCGCGAACCGCTTCCTACGAAACCGCGATCACAGTACCAGTCCCAGGACATAGCGCTGGTACCCACGGTGACAAATATGAATCATTGCAATTCTTAAATTAAATAGAGGACTTATTTACTTTAACTTAGGTTGCAGCTCAGGACAGCCCGAGAATACAACCGATGACGCGGACGAGGAAACACCAACAACAACAGCAGCAGCGGAACCAACGAACTAACACCCAACACCACAGGCAACGATTAGGAACCAAGACGAAACCCTAATCTTCGCTTCACTTCATCTTCTCTTCAAGGCGGAGGAACCATATATATATATATATATATATATATATATATATATATATATATATATAGAGAGAGAGAGAGAGAGAGAGCAAGGGTGAGTACTTTCGTACTCAGCAAGCCATGGGAATTAAGTGTTTAATGCAGGCTTCAAGGGAAGGCTGTTGTTTTTGCAATTGATTTTATTTAAACTCCTTTTAAAACAACTAAATGAGTACTTCTCAAACGACACGGATGAGACAGTGCGTCTCGTCCAGTCTGAGTATGTGCAATGTATCAGTCTTTGAATTGATTCAAGGTTGGCACCCGGCAACAGCTTTCAAACGGCCACCCGAGCCTAGCTGATCCCATCAGCCACAGATTTTCCAAACATCGATCCCATTTCACAACAGCAATTTCACAAAACAGTAGTCAAACAAAACTACGCTAGGAATCACTTCACATCCGCCCATGACCGTGGGCACGGCTATTCGAACAGTTTGTTAACTTCTGCAGATGGGGTACACTTTACCCACACGACATTACTAACCCGGATCAACCAGCCTGTGCAGAACGGCCACATCTGGAGACCTTGAGGCTTTCATGACAAGGCATTTCGAAAGTCGACACAGGTTCATCTTATGCCAACGAGAGGGGTCCCAGACCAACACCAGGTTAGGTCCCAGACCATACTGTGCCAGGAAACCCGGGGGTTCTCCCCGGCACCACCCCGTTGAATCCACATGTCTCTTGGCATCATGGCTCCCCCGATTAGCTAATTACTCAGCCAGGGGCGTCCCATTACGCCCATGTGGTCGCACTTGTCTTATGTTCGGATGAAATTCCAAGGAAACGGTCCTTAGTGCAAGAGCGGGAAACCGTACTCCCGGTACATCCCCCGGTCTGCGATTTTGGAAATTCATTTAGTTCGCAAGCACCGACCCAGGTGTCGGGTTTTTCCAAGTCTTTTGTAAAACCCCAAGTTTTACCCATCGTTGGATATTTTAAATTTGAGGGAAGGTGTTCCGATGCGTGTGCCTGAGGACCCATGCATCGAAGCACAACAGCTGACAAATGAGGTTTAAGTGTTCAATAATTCAAGGAGGGTAATTGCAGCAGTTAGGATTTGGGGGCCGGCAGGCTATCTCTTAAGCCGCGGCCGAATTACTTATGTAAATCCTATTCATGCAATATTTGCGGAAAAGAAATACTTAGATTTAAATTATAGGTGCAAGATGTTCAAAGTTGACTTGCCTTGCTCAAGGTCTTCACTGAGCTTCACGAATCTTCGAGAAATCCACGATCGACGAAAATCCGGTAACCGCGACTATATGCAAACAATCGAAAACCTAACCAAAAGACCAAAAGAAAGACCCTATTTAGACTAATTAATAGTGCCATAGATCTCAATTTTACGGAATTACTGGAAGTTGAACGGGGGCAATCAGACGAACGGATCGAGATATATGAATTTTGGAAGTTTAAGTGGAATTTCTGGGCGAAGGAAGATATTTGTGGAACAAGGGGAAATTGATTTATGAAATTTATAGAAATAATATTCTCAAGAATATTATTGACTGTCACTTACGTGCAGGATCAAGGGAAATGATTTATAGAATTTTGGAATAAGGAATTGATTTATAGAATAGGGGAAAAAGGATTTATTAAATCCCTTGGAAAAGAAAAGGAAAGAGGGATGTCATTTAGACTTCCTTCGGGCGGCTAGGGCGCGGCCTGAAGGCTATTGCGGCTCGGCCGAACCAAATGGGCCGGCGCGGGCGCGAGGAGGCGGCCCATTAGGGGCGCCCGGGAGAGAGGGAGCGGTCCGGTGGACCAAGTTCACCTCACGGGGTCCCGGGTGGGGCCCGCATGGCGGCGGCCTGGTTCACGATGAGGGAGGCGCACGCAGGGGCGGTGCTGGGGTTCAGGAGGGGGAGCGGTGCACGGCGCGGTGCACGGAGGACTAGGAGACGACGGGCCCACGCGCGCGAGCGGGGGACGGAGGGAGCGGCTGACCGGGGTCAGCTTGACCCGGTCCGGCCGAGCTGGCGCCGACGAGGCGCCTTCGTGGCAGCCACGCGGGCCGGCGTGTGGAGGAAGAAGGGGGAGGCCGAGATGGACGGCGGACGGCGGCGACATTCGCCGGGGCAACACACGGGGATTCAAGGGAGGGGGAAGGACACCGGAGTGATGGGAGGGACAAGAGGGAGCGAATCACCGGCCCGGATTCACCGGAGAGAGGCCGGCGGCGACGAATCGCGGTGGCGCATGCCGGCGGCGAGCAAAGAGGGGAAACGGCGGCGGTAGACGAGAGGTCGATTCAAGGCGGTGGGAGCACCCAAGGGAGTTGGGAAACCCGTTTTCCGGCGACGGATGGGGTGGAGTGGCACCGTGGAGGGCTGGCGACGACGGCAGCCTCCGGGAGCGGGCGGTAATGGCGGCGAGGCCATGCCAGGCGGCGGCGGGGCTTGGGGCGGCTTCTACGAACTACCGGAAGGCTAGCCGAGCTACCACGTGAGCTAGGGAGGGAGAGGGCGAGTGAGGAAGGGGAACGGGAGGGAGGCACTACCGAGCCGGAACGGGCGCGGTGTCGAGCGGCCGACGGCGCGGGAGCGAGCTCTCCGTTCTCGGGCCGGGGAAGAGGAAGGAGGAGGGTGCCCGGAGTCCCGCGTCACGCGTCCTCGCACGCACCGGCCTCCCCGGTGCTTGGCAGCGGACGGTGACGGCGAGAGTAGAGGAAAGGCGACAATGGCGCGGTTGTGGCGACGAGAGAAACGAGAGAGATTGGGATGGGGAGGGGGACTCGGCTTGGGCTTTATAGCACGGGGAAGGCGGTTTGGGGGAGGAACCGACCTTGGACGAGGCGGTCAAGGGGCGAGCTGGCGGGTGGTCACGCGCGCAGAGGAGGTGACGGTGGCGATGGAAGGGAAAAAGCAAAAAAGGGGGAGGGAAAGGAGCTCGGTCCCTTGCCGGTTTGGGCGAGCAGAGGGAGGTGGGAGAGCATGCGAGAGAGGGGAGCCGAGGCCCTGCCTCCACGTCTTGGACGCACGCGCACAGCGGCGCAGAGGTGGGGTGACGACAGAGTGGGCACGGGCGGCTGCACGGCGCAGGCGGGCCAGGGCGGACGGCGACCGAGGGCGGTCGGCCACCACGACGAGAGCGCGCGCGGGAACGAGCGAAGGCGGTGGCGGTTTGAATCGGCGGAGCGCTGGCGGGGAGCGGCGAGAGAGAGAGAGAGACGAGAAGAGAGCGAGGAAGAAGAGAGGCGCTGCCTCTCTCTTGCTCGGCTGAGCAGGCACGTGCGGCGCACGTGAGAGGGGGGGAGAGGAAGGCTGGGAGGGGAGATGGGCCGAGGGAGGAAGAATCGGCCCAACGACCAAGAGGGAGGCAAAATAGACTTTTGCCGAGGAGATCGATTCCGAAGGGATTGAGATTTGGAATTTGAATTTCGAACTTGATATTTGGACTCATGGGAATATGGTGGAGTCAAGGAAGGGAGATCAAAGTGAAAACTCAATATTTTCGAATTGGTTTTGTATCTAGAGAGCCGAAGAATTATTTGGGGTGGTTTCCAAAGAAAGAGGAAAAAGGAGGAATCTTGGAGGTTGAAGCTCAAGGCTGGGATATGTTTGGATTTACATCCTTGGAGTTGGGACAGGAATTCAAAGGTTGTTAGATAGACGGACGAACCGATGGATAACTTGTAGATAGATAGATAGATGGATAGATAGGTAGATAGATAGATGAACAGGTAGATAGATCGATAGACAAGGAGGGATTCAAGGTTGGGATTTGATATTCTTGGAATCGAGAGAAATATTGGCAAGGAATTTTAAGGACGGGATTGAATTTCGATGTTTGACTTTAGAAGATGAATCGGGATTGACATTTTAGAGGTGGAGGATTTTGATGGCGACGGGAGGGAACAACAATGGAGATTTGAATTGAGATCTTGGCACAACTTAGACTCTCACACAAATAACGAAATTTTCGCATATAGGATTTTGGCGAATTAGTTTTTAACATCTCACGAAAAGCGGAGCGTTACATCCATCTACTCCCTCCGCTGCCGACCGGGTCATGGTCCCTTGGCTATTTCCTGCCATCGCCCGTCAACTCTCTCTGGTGCTTCTCTATGCGACAGGCAGGGAGAAAAAAAAAGGAGTGAGAGGCAGGGGTATGTGGACTTGGTCTACAGAGGCTATTCAACAAGGGGAGGGAAACAAGAGACCGACATGTGGGACCCACATGAGTCCCACGTTGAGTCAGCTGCCACATCAGATAAACCCGGAGTCAAAAACCGCAGAGAGAACTGGTTTGTACTGGTTTTGTAAGTTGAGGGATGCGTTCTATTTGATTTTGTGGTTCAAGGATGATTTTGTAACTCGACGACAAGTTAAGAGACATTCGGTGTACTTTTTCCGCCATATTTCTCTTACTACATGATATGAGCTCGTTCATTAATTGGGCCCGGCCCATGGTTTAACCTTACCTGCAATGATGCAGACTTGCGATACAGAGCAACGTGCAAGTGCAACGAGGCAACGTCCCCCTGCTTCTGTACCATCTGGGATTCTGGGTCGGCGTGACGGATGGGACAAGATTGCTACCCCACCTGTTGGCTTTCTGAGGCGTACCCGGAGGAGGCGTGATGCCGAAACCGAAACACGAAGACTCGCGACACGACGACGTACGCTCCCCCTCTCTGTCCACCGAGCGACACGTTACGGCCGCGCGACTCTCCGAACGCCATGCACGCGCCCACGTCGCGCCACCGTGCCCTTCCCGGTGGACACGTCGCCACGCGCCCATCGCGACGTCCTATATATCCCCGCCGCGGCCGCGACGCTACTTCCTGCACCGCCGCTACACGTTGCAACTGCGACTAGTCGATCTCATCGATCTCTCAAAAGACTACGAGCTCTTCACAGGGAATCGAGTGTGTTTCGGTCGTTTGGGCCGCGCCAAGCGGAAGCGGAGGGATGCAGGGGACAACGACGACCAAGGCCGGGCGCAACGGCGACCGCGCCGGCACCGAAGCCCCGGGCGCGACGAGGGCGACTGACGGGAGGGGCGGCGCCGCCGTGGCAGCCCGCAAGGTCGGGGACATGCGCGGCGTGTCGGGCGTGGAGGCCAAGGACTCGCTGACCATCGTCGCGCTGCAGTCGCCGGTCACCGTCGAGCGCCCCGTCCGCGGCGACCTCGAGGAACACGTCCCCAAGCCATGTAAGCACAAATGCGAGATGCCTTCTCTAGTACACATCTTCTCCATGGTTCGAATACTTCAACAATAATACAATTAGCTGAAGATGGATGCGTCTCTCGTTGTTTGATGATCAGATCTTGCGAGAGCGCTGGCGGCGCCGGACATCTACCACCCAGACGGAACCACGACGGACGATCACGAGCACCACCACCTCAGCGTGCTGCAGCAGCACGTCGCCTTCTTCGACCGCGACGACAACGGCATCATCTACCCATGGGAAACCTACGAAGGTACAGTATATATTTGACCCAAATGAGTTACTATACTAACATTCATTTGATCGCCATCTTGCAATCAAATGGCATGCATGATCGGTGCACTGACGGAACCTGCAGGGTGCCGTGCGCTTGGGTTCAACATGATCATGTCCTTCCTCATTGCTCTGGTCGTGAACGTGTCCATGAGCTACCCCACGCTGCCTGTGAGTGAGCTGATCGATCTTGGGTATAACTTGAGCGATAGCATCTCAAACTCCTTTTTTTTGAACTGTGATCATTGTAGGGCTGGCTGCCGTCCCCGTTCTTCCCGATCTACATCCACAACATCCACAGGAGTAAGCACGGGAGTGACTCTGGGACCTACGATAACGAGGGCCGGTAATCATACATCCTCTTCTGAATTTCGTCACTCTCGCTGCTGCCCAGAATACTGATCCGAACATTTCGTGGGGGTGCAGGTTCATGCCGGTGAACTTCGAGAACATCTTCAGCAAGTACGCGCGCACGTCCCCTGACAGGCTCACCTACAGGGAGGTGTGGCAGATGACCGAGGGGAACCGCGAAGTGCTCGATCTCTTCGGATGGTAAGCCATCATCAGTCTTTTAACACACTAGATGTGTTCAAATAGACAATGCAGTACTCTCAATTGACAGATGATACTGAAATTGGTTTTGTTTTGCTGACGTGTGTGTAGGTTCGCGGCGAAGCTGGAGTGGACGATCCTGTACGTGCTGGCGAGGGACGAGGAAGGGTACCTGGCGAGGGAGGCCATCCGGCGCATGTACGACGGGAGCCTGTTCGAGTACGTGGCGATGCAGCGGGAGCAGCACGCTAAGATGTCCTAGATTAGCTTAGTTAGCTACTGGATCGGTCTGTGGGTGTGAGATCGAGCCTGTGACGCAGGGGACATGCAACGGTGCTCTGCCTGCCGGCTTAGGTCTGGTGTTCTCTCTGGACTCTGGGTGATAACAAAAGAACACCCAGATGCGTGTCGTGTCTGCTTGTAATTAACTTTGTATCTTGATGCAAGAGAAATAAGAATAACGTGTGGAGGATGCGATATGCGCGAATAATGTTTAGCTACTGGCACGGTTTTGCACTTCAATCGGATCATCTTCTCCTGGTGCTGTGCTTGCGGCGCGCGATGGCTGCGGATTATGATCCTCTTCACTTCTGTACTTGGCGTGATTGGGCCGCGGACCGGTAGAGCGGTGGCTGGTTGCGTACATTGACTAGCGATCGGCTCTGCACCGAGCACCAAGGCCGACTATGCATCTAGCCAACGCACGCTCGCGCGTGTGCTTTGGTTAATTGTCACGTTGTTCGGTTACTAACGTGATCTATGAGAGCCAGAAATTTTGGCGTCGCAACCATAGTCGGCGTCGCAATGTTGCTCGTGCTCGGTTGTTAGCGTGTGGCCTGCGAGGTCGGGAAATCGAATCATGCGCAGTTAATGTTTCTTTTTAGTAACTTAATTAATGAGTAGCTTATAAAATCCTCAACTCGGCCTATTAGCTCAGCTGGTTAGAGCGTCGTGCTAATAACGCGAAGGTCGCAGGTTCGAGACCTGCATGGGCCATTATTTATTTATTTTCTTTTCTGTTGGTAGTACATTCTTTTCCTTTTTCTTTTTCTTAGTACATTTTACAAATTTCTGATTCTGAAACATTTTTATACTGTTGGTACATATTCAAATTTGTCAAACATTGTTTTCTTCTCTTTCATATCAGTACATTTTCAAATTTCTGAAACAATTTATTGAGTCCCAAAATTTCTATTGGTACATTTCAAATTTCTGAAACAATTTAAGATATTTATGCATTTTCTGCATGTAAAGACTTTTTTTAGAGGACATGTAAAGACATTTGAATGTTGGTAGTTCCTACATATGGTAGCAATGGAATAGGGTTGGTGAGTGGACAAATGTCAAGCATCCATGTAGAGGTCCAGTTGAATCATTCTCAGCTTCCCAGGAGGATTGGGCCCTTGTACTTCGGGGGCTTTTGGGCCGTTTCCTGTGGGCTTCTCCTTGTGCGGGTCACCGGCTCTCGCCGCCGCCGTCAACAGGACACGCCCGCGCAATCAAGGGGGAGAGCGAGCACACTATGCTGCGGGCGGCGGCGTCGAGGTGCGCCCGCGGCGCCATCCGGCGGCTCTCATCGGCGGCATCCCCGGCTGCTGTCGCCGCGGGCGCTCGGCGCCAGCCTCCTCTGGACGAGGGGGACTGGTCCTACCACCGGGAGTGGTGGGGCGAGGACGAGGGCCCCGGCGAGGGGGCGCACACCGTCTTCCGCCGCCACTCCGAGCACGGCAACGGCGTCGTCTCCGTCTCCGCGTACCCCGCATCCCGCCCGGTAAACCTCGCCTCTGTTTTCCGGCTTGATCTGCTTCCTTGCTGGGGCCGGAGAAAGGAAAGGATTGAAAAACTTATGAAGCGGGGACAGGAACTCGTTAGCGAGACAGTACAGCCTCCGTTCCTCAAATGTTTGCAACTTAGGCCTCAGATTTCTCTGTAGAGATCGGGCTTTTGCAATCGTGCTGTTTTCAGTCAAAAGCTTGCTGTTTTGGTGTAGTTCCAGTTTCGGGCAAAGCGTTTAGGTCAATGGCAACACTTGTTCTCCTAATCTAGATGTGCCTATGGAGTATGGTCTATTCAGCAATCACTGTGGAAGCTCTACCGTTAATAAAGTTCTAGCTTGTTAGCCATGATTTAGCTTTTTATGATGAATTGATGATATCTGTTTTGCATTCATGTTGAGACTAACTGTTGTGCGGTTCAGGCCAGTGACGAGTGGACAGTAACAGAGAGATGGCTTCAAGAAAGGAACGCAAGAATATACCCAAATTCATTTGGTGCCAACCAGTTTAAGATACTAGGTTACCAGTGGCGAGTAATGCGGTTCAATGATCATACGCGGCAAAGTGTTGCCAAAGTAATGGCCTGCTACAGGTCTTCGGGTGACACGGGGATGTACTTGATGCAGCAACCACATTGTTTGGCTGTTCCTTGTGAGTTCACTTCAATCTTTTGATGAAATCTTGATGACCATAATAGGTCAGTGTTAGGTTTTACTTCACGGTATCATTTATATCTGTTAATCCACAACACAGAAAAATCCATTCATATGCACAACACAAATACACAGTGTACACATACTTCGTGGTAGTCAAATGATATCAGTAAAATGATTCCCCTGATTATTTATTTGCTACAAGATTGCAAGTGCAAGTTACTTAGATGTCATTATCATCATAATATGGTTGCCTGCACATGCATCAAAGTCTTCAATGATAAAGTAAAGCAATTGGGTTGACTTCTGCATTTTATCTTTTGCTTCCGTACCATATTACACATCTGACAGAAGGTATTTACAGATGTTAAGAGTATGGTATCAGCAGGGTTGACAGCACTACCTTGTTGTTCTTATGATCTCCATCAAGCAGTTTCTGGACAGAACAATATGAAAATTCTTTGTATTGGCCATGGTGGTGGCAGCTTACCATTGGTTTTGGCTAGCAAATTCAGAGGTAAATATAGTCACTAGCCTCAAGAATGCTCATTCCCTAGCTAGTACACCACATATGGAAATTTCAGTTTTCCGATACTTTGCTTCCTGCAGTCTGTAGTCAAGCTACACCTAACTTGTTTAACTGCAAAATTGCCAACTTCTATTAGTTCATAAAAAGCGTATTCCTTTCACAAAACTGCTTGAATTCAGATTGTTGATACTCAGTGGTTTTGTCCTGCCAGATTTTCTTAATTTGCTGGAGTCTAAACTTCAAATTCTGTAGCTTTGCACTTGATACATATGTTTGATCATATATCGACTCTTTCAGGTGCTGTTGTTCATATTGTGGAAATTGATCCAGTTGTTGCTTCAGCTTCAATTGATTCTATGGGTTTCCCCTCATTACCTGTGAAAGGGTTACCACCGGAGCCCACGAAGCCTGCCAATGGCAATGAGCTGTTGTGGGGAGGCATCCATGACCGGCTTTTCCTCCATATCGCGGACGCTGAAGATTTCGTCGCAAACGACAGCAATGTATACGATTTGGTCTTCATCGATGCGTATGACGGCGACGACATATTTCCTCGCAAGCTCTGGGACGCAGAGGGAACATTCCTCAAGAACCTTGAGATGAAAGTCCACCCTGTCCATGGCACCGTGGTGGTGAACCTACACTCTGACTCGGAGCTATCTGTTGCTGGTGTGGAGAAAACCTCCTCTGTGGATAGCATTCTTCCGCTGGGCAAACATGTCTCCCAGGTCTGCAGGGCGTACAAGCAGCATTTCGGGCTAGCCTTCACAGCGGCCGTCCCTTGGCTCTGCAACATCACCCTCGTCGCCTGCCGTGACAGGGCCATAGCAAGCGGTGCACGGCTTGGGCTTAGCCGTAGGGACTTTGTTCTTGGCAAGCTTCTGTCGAAATCGAACATGGTCGAGCACGCGCTGGACCTGCCGTTCCCTTGTCTGCAGTACATCAAGAATGGTTTCACGCTAGTCGATTGATGAATGCACTAGTAGGATCATTATTTTCCCTTTTTTTTTCTTTTCTCTCGTCAGCGTAGCTAGCCTTCTCATTTTCTTTCTGGTGTCGTTTTTGTTTGACGATTTGTGTCAAGTAATCCTTTTGCTCCAAAGCTTGTGCGGTGCATTTGCTGCTTACACGGCATTTTGACTATGCGTGTAGTACTCATATATATTATGCCTTTTGACTTGCGGCCACGGAGTCAGGGCCGTGCACGTGGAGGTAGGCTAAACCGGAGGCCACGGTGATCGTTCAGCTGCATGTCCATGCCCACGAGGTTCTCGCGGTCACCAAGCCAATCCAACGACTCAACGAGATAAGATCTCGGCCAAGTGGCCCAAAAATCTAGCGGCTTCTCCGAAAGAAAGGCTAAGCAACTGCACACTAGCAAGGGCTGTATGCTCGTCGTTGAAAACGAGAGGTCAAGCCAGAGTCACGAGGTCAGTGAGATATGTATACATGAACTTGTACGCATGGTTGAACTTTTTTTTGTTTCTAGACCGAGCAAACGTTGCCGATCTCAATCTCGAGGGGTTTTCTTTCCTTGTAAAACCGATGAGGATTCACGTGCATGCACCAACTTGAACACGCTTTAATGCCTTACCAGCAAGTCTGAAAACAACCATGCCGACGGATTAAACTAACACGGCTCGATCCATCATGTGATACTATAAATGAAGACACGGGAGGTGAGATCTCGAGGAATTTGATGCCAAGCTATAGCTAGAGACGACGCGGAGACGGTGTGAGAGAAACGAGACGATGCTGCTGAGGAGCTCGTCGACGCCGTTCCTGCACTCCTTCCTCTCGCCGTCGTCGGCGGCGGCTGCGCCGTCCTCTCTCCAGCTGCGGCGAGCCTTCTCCGACGGCCACCTGCCTTCCCTCCACCCGTCCTCCGACGGTGGTGGTGGTAGCAAGAACAATACCACCGGCCTCCACACGGAGCTCTCCTTCTCCATCTACAACACCTTCAACAAGATGGCGCCGCCGCCGCCGCCGGTGCAGGAGCAGGAGGAGGCTGAGCAGCAGCAGGCCCCCGGGGAGCCGAAGCTGCCGCTGTTCTTGGCGAGAGGCCTCGGGATCGACCGCATCGCTTCCGGCCTGTTCACCGCCGGCGGCGGCGGCGACGGCGACGGCGGCAACGGTGGCGCTGGGAGGATGAGCGCCGTGGAGGAGGAGCACGCCGAGAAGGTGGCGGCGCTCGACGCGCAGTACAAGAGGATGATGGACGAGCAGCCGGGCGACGCGCTGTTCCTGCGCAACTACGCGCAGTTCCTGCACGAGGTATATATCTGTACTAAAAACCCATCGATCAAGCACGGCACACCTGGTATAATGCTGTGAAACACCGTGTGATCAATGGTTCTCGTAAACTCGTGGATTCATAAATTTTGATTGCTATCATCACTGGATGATCGATCAGGTGAAGGGCGACGCGAGGAGGGCGGAGGAGTACTACTCGCGCGCCATGCTGGCGGATCCCAGCGACGGCGAGATCATGTCGCAGTACGCCAAGCTGGTGTGGGAGGTGCACCGCGATCTGGACAGATCCCTCACCTACTTCCACAAGTCCGTGCAGGCCGCGCCGCACAACAGGTCGGTACTCGGTAGCCACCCGCGAGCCCCGCGGCGCTGTGAGTACATTTCGGAGTATTACACTGATCAGATGGCTTAGCGCTAACCGTGGTGGCGTGTTTTTTTTTTTTTTTGTCTTTGGTTTCTGGAATTGGCAGCAATGTCCTCGCCGCGTACGCCAGCTTCCTGTGGGAACAGGACGACGACGACAACGACGACCTCGGAGAAGGCGAGCAGGACGTGGCCGTGGCGGCGCAGCCGGGGCATGTGAGGCAGCTGGCTTCCGTGGCCGTTTGATCCGTGCGAGACGGGCTGACAACGTGCTAAATGCGCTGTGCTTTCTACTACTAAATGCGCTGGTGCTTACAAACCGAAGAATAAATAATACCGCGGTTGGAAGTTGGATGTAACTATATCATGAAGTTCTCTTTTTCCTTTCACGAATCAAAACCGATGAATGTATTTTGCATCTACCCCAAAGTTGTTTGCTTTTGCCTCGCGGTGGAATCTCAATGTTTCGCCCGGCAAAAGAAGAGTATCGCCCATTACTGGTTCTACCGCGAGGCAAAAGAAGAGTCTCGCCCATTCCTGGCTATAGGACGCCGGAGAATGGCACGGAGATGGGCGCATGCATCAGTCGTCAGCGCATGGCTTCATGCATCAAGGCAGCTAGCGAGTGAGACCTGTGCGTGCGACTAGGCGGTAGATGGACACCGGCCATGTGATTGTTCGCCGCCCAGTGCACGAGCTCGTGCCAAGTGGCACTGCTCCACGCACAAATTAGAATGAAGCAGTGAACCAACATACTATGTTAAGAGTCTAAGAGATAACATGAGATTTTATAAGCTAATGTAAAAGGTTTATCAAGCTATTTGCAAGCAGGAATCGCTCCTGCCGCTGCCGGTGTGAAACAAGACATGGCAGCAAAAGGACAATTCCTAAAACATATCACTGAGACTAGAACTTTTCAATGGTGTTCTCAACGGACACCAATTCAGCGATAACATTATGAAATCTTTCCAGGTCGATGCAGCTGAGGTTTTGTTCTGACCAAACGACGGCAAAAACCAGCAACAAAATGGTAACAGATGCCCATCCAAAAATGACTACCACCTAATATTACGCTTTGTTGTGACAAAAATATGGCCGGACCGCACCATGTCGAGATCACCAAGGGGGTACAACCATTCACCAGCAGAGCAGGTGAGAAATTTGACTTTAGCCATCGTACTGGCGTCAAACCCTTCTTTGGTACCCATTTCCCTTTGACCGAGTAGCATAATCCCCATCATACCGCCCACCCGATTGACCCCTAGAGAAGTCAGCAGGTCTTCCTCTCCCCCGTCCTGCAGAGCAAGAAACTAGAATTAACAGTCCTAGCAAAGGGGTAACACAGGAAACAGACAGACATGGCTTACTAAAAAACTCAGTTACTGGGCATATGTACATTACAGATGATTTATCATGTTTCTTTGGGAGCAAGTAAAATATTTCATACTAGTAATAACAATGTCTTGGAGGTGATGTTCTATAGCGCACTAAACAGTAGTAAAAAGATAATGTGCGTCAGAGAATGAGAAGTCCATATATACCCTCAAGAAAGATGAGGTTTCAGGAACCTCATTCAACAAATTCAGGCTTAAACATCACTAGTCAGGGCACATTCTACTATAACCCTACTTTCTTACTGCCGCTACCTCAGCATTAATACAAATGGTTGTCTAGATTATCGGTACAAAAAATAGTCTAAACAAAACAATAAAAAACTGCTTAACTATATGGATGAGAAAATCCAGATCGATACTTACTTGCTCCACCTCCCCGATAGATTTGCCTCCTCTCTTCAACATGTATTAAGCGGCCATTCAGCTCTATTGGAGATGCCTGATGTACAAATATTAATCAAAACAAGATAGCATTCAGAACTAATGTAAGATCATACAGATTAATTACCATTACAGCACACTAACCTTCATTGCTCTATGAACTCTAAACATCATGCATTAAACAAAACTGAGAAATCAAGACGTTTGTTTTAACAATGCATCTACTATATGCTTGACCATAGGCTTTGGACTATTTGCAAAACAAGCATTCGTTGGTCCACCACTCAACAGTTCTCAGCCATTAGCATAATATTACTCCTTCCGCTGTAGAATATTACAGCTCCAGAAAACTATTGTTATAGGATTCCCTTTATGCAGACACTGTAGCATGTTCTATGCATTGTTCAGATTAGCATAAAAAGATATTCTATAGAGTATAGCAGGCACGGCCTATTAAGTGTCTCAAGGCACCATTTATCTTCTCTCTTTTTTCCTCTTCTGTATTCAGGTTACTTTCATATGCTGAACTAAGAGAAACTCACCCTCAAAGCATTATGGATACCAGACATGTCTTCGTACTCAACAAAGCCAAAGAAAATTCCAGCCTCCTACACACAAATACATGAAATTAGGAAGCAAATAACAAAGAAAAAATTGGGGGGGGGGGGGGGGAGGAGAGCACAACATAGAAGGCAAGAAACCTTGCGGCTCCGTATAGCAACCCCGTCAGGTTTAATTCTTCCAAAAGCCTGGAATACCTTCTCAAGATCAAAGACTGAAGTAGATGGAGAAAGGTTCCCGATATAAACTGACAAAAACTCTTCTAAGACAAGAGAAATAATTCAGCAGTCAGGTCCACAGCAGAAAATCAGGAAAGATTATTTCCAACAGCAATTTTTGGATAAACAGTGCATACCATTTAGTGCAAACAAAAATAGACAACCAAATATATTTGACACGAGAATAAAAACTAAGTGTGCATAGTGCCTTTGTTACACAAGTTCAAAAAATCAGTCAAGGCTACAGGAAGACAGACAATAGAATACTGTACCCACAAAAGCAGTGCATACCAATTGCATATAAAAGTTAGATATATCAAGCCGAATGACTATGGACAAGACACTCACAAAACTAATAGTGTATTATCACAATTAAAAAGTAATTTGTTTAGCATGTAACAACTCTTGAAATAAGCAATAAGCAAGAATTAGCATCCATGACAACACATCAGCCCCAAAAAATACTGCGAAAGAAAATAATAATTATAAACAACCACCGAATATGCGCTCGTGTGCTAGCAACAACTATCGACGTAAGAATTTACTTAACTCATAAGCTGGCCACTAAAAAGGGCGTTGATAAAATATTTCGACTCACAAACTACCCATAAAAGGAATTTGATCTTGCATCCAGAACAGGAAGTGTCAATTACACCAATAAAGGAAAGGGTTGTTTAAATGTTGAATCAGGGTTGGCAATTGATGGTTAGGTAAAGAAATTGAGTTCCAACAATCCAAAAATGGGATTGTGTTTACATTAAAAAACAGGAAAGTGTGAATAACTACCAAAAATTAGATTAAAATTCTATTTAGAGTGCTAAAAAGGCAGAGGGTAGTTGAAATAGAGAAGGGCTAGGTGAATTTAGTCCAATATTGGTTCCTATACCTAGTAGGCTAGTAGTAATAACAAAACAATTTCAAAAAAGATCATAATAAAATGATCAGAAGCATTAGCAAAGTTGTATACAAAAGCCAAACCTTCATCCTCAGGGCCGCTAGCATCATAACGGGTGTCCAGGTTGGCTTTTTCATGCACAGGCTGCACCTGCTTAGTCATATGTCCATTCAGTTGTGACTCCACACTACTTGCCGTGGCCTTGTTGAGAGGAATGGAGTGAATAGCCTGATGGCTAGGGTGTCCTTTTGTTCGCAGCTGACAAAATTCCATTCAGTCCAAAGAGTTCAACATCAACCAAAGAAAGAAATTAGGAATTCAACTTGACTAAAAGGCAGCATATGCCTGCTTACCACTGAAGCGTATGTTTGTTTGGCTGGTTCTCCCATAGGCTCTTCCTCAGGGGTAGTTACAGAAGGATGGACAATGGGGCCAAGAGGTGCATCCTGTTTACTGTCAGTAGAACTGGGGAACGAAGGAGTAAGCTCTTCAGAAGGAGAATCATCGTCGATCACAACCCCATATTCCAAAGGATCTTGCTGCTGAACTTCATGATTTTCAGGCATAAAAGCAGGACCCCTTTCCTCAATATCAGCAGGAGCTAAAGCTTCCTTTGCCTCAAGTTCTTCAGGCATACAATCAGACGCTAAAGAATCAACCAACAATAAAAAGTAAACATTATCACTATAATCACGGTTACCATTGGAGAAATTTTCTAACAACATCAATGCAAAACACATACACACACACAACAAATATTTGGAAACAAGATAACTGAGGAGTTTATGTGGAGAAGCACACTATTCAGATGCTTCATATTATGTACTCAATGAGAATGTAGCCAGTGGATTAAACTTAGCGACAAAAAACAGAAGAATCTGGTGAACTAGTGATGAGGTTTTCTATTATCTGGACTCTAGAGAATATATCAAAGAAGACGTTTGTGGCGTGCATACCTTACTTCACAGAATATAAGAAAACTTACTTTTACAAAAGAAAACAAGCACTGAAATGGGCTTAATTTATTAACATACATTGCAAAACATTATCATGTAATAAAAAACATGGCCCAAAAAAAAGTAGGAGAAGATCATGAACATATGCAGATTGTTTAGATCTGAAATTCATTAAAGCGCCGTTGGAAAATAATACCTGTTTCAGTCATGGTATTATGAGCATCCATCTGGAGAATGTTGTCAGTGTGACTGTAATCAGCCCCTTCATAGTAATCATATTCATCACAGATAAGCTTAAAGATGTCACTGAATACATAATATCCATTATCCTGAGGAGCAAGAAGCATAGTCTGAGCAAATCTCTTGCGAACAGGGTAGTCCTTTAATTGCACTAGGCCAGTAACCAACATCTGGAGAGCCCCACCCCATGACTGCACGAAATTAGCTGTCTTAACCTCAATCTTGTGTACATTCATGGATATGATCATGTCATTGATTTCCTGCCGATGTTTGCAAGGATGATAACACAAGTTAAATTATACCATAGTGATATTTTGTAAACAGAAACAATGCAAGCAAAATAACCTACATATAGTGGATTTCATAATTTAAACCCCAGTTTTCAAGAAAGTGATCAATGAAATAAAACATAAAAGGGCATTGAGCAGTTAGGCACCAAACAGGTACAATCATCAAGCAAGGACCCTGCATAACTAATAAAATGCACAGATAATACAAAGGGACTCCATCACCCCAATCCACAATGCTCTGATCTATGGTATCCCATGTCCACAGTATTTTTTTCCCAGCTGGTGAATTAATAAACAGCCAGCTAACGCCTGGACTAAATAAACAACCTCAGAAGTTGCCACATCAATAGTACAAACCAACCCTGCCGCAAAACATGTATAGAGAAACATACTCAGACTATCAGACATACCAAAGAAAAAGAAAAAAAAACTGCTGCCGGTAAGTGGTAAGTTTTCGTAACACTAATTCTTACTGGACACAACAGCCACTGCTTGTTTGTCGTCAAAACTCAATGGCACATTTGTTCACCAACCATACACAACGATTGAAGATGAAATCTCACCATGAACCAAAAATCATCCCAATAATAAAAACATCACAGCATATTCTAATCCCAGTAAAAAAAAACATAACAGCATAGCACACATTTGGTCCAACGAACAAACATTATCTTTGCATTGAATATCTCGCGAAAAAAGAAAATCGCAAGGGCCAGCACAAAGGTGATTAATTTACTGACGCTAAGCAAGAAAATACAGCAGAGAAGAATATGCTAGCTTCGTTCCATACCTCAACAGTCTCCCCGAACGAGGATTTCATCGTCTGGCAGTCCAGCCTCACGGCGGTGCTGTAATCCGTGTAGAATTGGCACGCCAGCTCCGGGCTGTTCGCGAGCACGTTGTAGTACCCCTGCAAGAAGTAGGAGCACACCTGCGACCAACCACACACCAAACACCGCGGCCTCCCACGAATCAGACCCAAAACCCCACCCAGAGACCTAGAAGGGGGGGCGCGCTCACCTCGAAGGCGTAGGGGTGGCTGGCGATCTGCTGCTGCACGCGGTCCAGCTCCCTCATCCCGGTGGGCATCTCCATGTGGTACCGCCCCCCCATGCCGCGCATCCCCCCCCCCCCCCCCACACACACACACAAAAAAAAAACCCTAGCGAGAGAACTCCGCGTCAGGGACGACAGCCGCCACCAACAGCAACCGCGCCTCCTCCTCCTCCTCCCGCAACGGCTGGAGAGAGAGGGACGGCGAAGGAGACGGCTAGGGTTCGTGGCTCGCCGCCGCCGCCGCTCCTCGCGCCGGGGGGGGCGGAGGCGAATGCGGGATGGGGATTCGTGGGGGCGGAGGAGGATCGGGGGAGGGAGAAGGGGGAAGGTTTTAAAATGGCTCTTCTTCCTCTCACTGCGCTGGCCTCGCCTCCCTTGGCCAGCTTTTGCTGCCTTCCTTTTTTTCCTCTTTTTCGCGTCTCCATTCGGTCGTGGCACATGAGACGCGCGGCGGTACGGTCTCGTCTCGTACTCTGTCGATGGCGGGTGGGGCTCCTGAGGGCGACGCGGGCGGGGGGACCCGCTCGTCAGTGGGTTGTGGTAGCAGACAGCGCGGTTTTCTTTTGTGTGTGTGTGGGGTCGCGGACTCGCGGTGGGATGTGGCAGTCGACGTCGCGGGAGTCGCGCCAGGTGCCCACCTCACCTCGCGTCGGTCGATCCGTACGTGCGGCGGGGTAGTTTTTCGGTGGATCGATGCGGGGGCGTGGGCTGCTACGTGGGTGAAGATTTGATTTGGCCCGGTCCACGGTTAATATGGGTAAGGTGTCTAACCCAGGATTAGCTGGGGGAACACCCTCTACTCTCAGGCATATTTCTCTCTCCCTTATCACACCATTCCTCTGCCGTCCATCCCGACAGCCCACCGCCCCTTCTCTTCGTAACCACATCTTAAACACCTACCCCAACCTTAATCCTGCAATCTAACCACTCGACAAACCCGTAGAAGTCCTAGAGATTCGTTGGAGATGGAGATAAAACATTAATCACAAAACAAATAATGATATTATAAAAAACCCCTTGTTTTTTTTCTCGAAATGTGATGTATAGCATTTTCTAACTAGCCAACCCTACAACCTGCTGATGTACTTCCTCCATCCAAAAAAAGCCAACCCAAAAAAATAAGACATTCGTTGTACTATGTAATGTCTTTATCGGTGTCTAGGTTGGCTTTTTTTTTGGACGGAGGGAGCAGATTGTTGGCGGCTTGGCGCCGAACCCAAAAGACTCTAGTTAGTTTGCTAGGGCGCATCAAGACACTAACACATTAAATTGCAAGCTATAACTATTTCTGACATGACAGCGTCGCACTACCCATAAGGGGTGAGAGCTTCGAGAGAGGCCCATAACCGCATACCCCTAGGGCCACGCTATGCTCAACGTTTGTTGAAGACATTGCAATCTTGAGGGCACAATTTCGACACTAGTCAATGCAAAACCAAGTCGAGAATACGCGCCACAGATAGAACATAGGTTCCCATAAAGTGGAGCATGTCAATGGCAAAGTCATACAGACATATGGTAGACGATGGCCACAAAATCTCTTTTCGAATAAGAGATCCAACTCAAGAGGGTGCGAAAAAAAAATCATGTCAAATAGGGTGTCATGTAAAAAACAATATCGAATGTTTGCACTTACTCGATCTTGGCTATGGAAACTTCATTGAAAACGCCCCAAACCAGGAATACTTTTCTATCCTTACGGCTACGAGCACCTCCAAAATTGCTCCGACATATATTGATCTTGGCAAAGTTACTGTAACGCCTTACTTTCGACCACTAAAAAATTAGCCATAAATACGAGGATATGTGCCAAGTATATAACTTAACATGTTTCATCACTAACTACCTAAGCTATACTTAGTGCTGGTGTTACAAAATTTGAAGTAAATTTCACTTAACTCTAGATATCGTGGTCTAAGTTGCAGAAAACGATACGGGTTTGGATGATTGTTATCCAAAACTGGCCGATCCAAGTCCACGAGGTGCAAAGCGTAAAATTATGCTCGTGCAGGGTCTTGCGTGCAACATGGTCTCCGGCTCTCCGCCCCTCAGCCCTACGCGATCTGGGCCACGGAAGCTCCATCGAACGGCCCAGGCTTACCCAAGAATAACGATCCAACTTGGGGAGGGAGGGCCGTTTCAGCTCGGGCTTTTTTTTCGTCGAGCCACAACGGGTTGACCCGTTAGCCATTAGGCCCAAAAAGGCCCATGTAGGAAACAAGTCCAAAACCAAAACCCTCGCCTCTTCTTCCCCCTCCTGCTGCCGCCCACACCGCCACCGCCTCCCCCCAACCCGCCGCTTCCGTCTCCGATGGCCGCAGCGCCGCCGCCGCCACCGCCTCCGCAGCTGCAGTCCTCGGATCCCTCCACTCCGCCTCAGGAGACCAGCCAGGTACGCAAGGGAAAGAAGAGTCGTGGCGCGAAGAAACCTAGGAGAGCCGCCGCTGCCGCCGCCGCCTCGACCTCCTCGGCCGGCACGATGGTCGAGGACCCCTTCCTCGTACTCGCCGGAGGCAAGGAAGGAGGTAAGGGTTTGAATTTATCGTGTATTGGATCCTTGGTTCAGTTAATGCGTTTGGTCTCTGACGAGGAGGTGTTTGGTTGATTGGGCGGTAGGGTTCCTGGAGCTTGAGGAGATCGACGAGGCGGACTTCGGAATCTTTGGCGGTGCCGTGGAGGATCTAGGAGAAATTGACAGGAAGGCAGGAAAGGATCAGAAGAAGAAGAAGAGGAAGAAGCGGAAGCGAGGTGACGATGACTATGCTTTACCTGGTGATGGTGATTTGGTAGTTGAATGTGAGGAGGAGGGAGAGAAGGGTGAGAAGAGGGTGAAAAAGAAGAGGAGGAGCAGGAAGAAGAGAAAGGTGAAGGAAATGGAGGAAAAAATGGAGAGCAAGGAAGATGTCTCCGATGACAATGTGGAAGGTGCTAATTGCTTTCACTTAAAGGCTTTTAGGAGCATTTTATCTGGTATCTCACGTACTGAAGTTTCAGCATTTCTTCTGTCTGGGTTTGTAGCAGTCATTGTTACTAAATTTGTCGGATCAGCATTGCGAGTCTACTTAATACTGTTGTGTGCTCACAGATATGCAAGATGGCAATGACATGGAACAAGATAACAATGATGGGCTGATTTTGGGAGAGGATGAAGTCTATGCATGGCGAGAGCTTAGACTGCACCCTCTTCTTATTACAGCGGTGCGCAGGCTTGGATTCAAAGAACCAACACCAATACAAAAGGCTTGCTTTCCTGCAGCGGCTCATCAAGGCAAGGTTCGTCAAGTGCTAACTTGTAGGCCATTGGCCAAGCTTTTATATGGGAAAATGATGAACTTCTATTTCATTATTCACCTGCTTATGCACCATTTGTTGCTTTGGTTATTAACTTGATAGCCTACTTTATTTAGTCGAAGTTAGACATTTCTTCTTATGATTCCACATTTAAAAGTCGCCTAACATATACCTGGATAAAGTGCCATAAACTAATCATGCCAGCTTGGACCCCTCTCAGTTCAGTGGAAATAAGAGAATATGCAACTGAGATAACTTTTTATACTATTTATTGTTGTTCCATGCCTTTGGTCTTCTAACTGTGGTGATGTTTATGTTGTAACAGGATGTTATTGGTGCAGCAGAGACAGGTTCTGGTAAAACACTTGCTTTTGGCCTCCCTATCTTGCAGCGCCTTCTTGAAGAACAAGAGAAGGCCATGAGATTGTCTCGGGAGGATGAGAGTACACAAGATGAAAATTCTAGAGAAAGTCCACTTCGTGCTCTTATTTTAACACCCACCAGGGAGCTTGCCAAGCAGGTATTAACACTGGAATTTGCATTTAGCCTTGTAACAAAAAGAGGATGACATTAACACTGGACTTTGCATTTTTACCCCTAGAATATATTTTGTGCAAGGTGCCACCTAATTTTCCTACTTTTATATGTAATGTAGTGTGCCATTGCTTATGTCACTGCTATTATTTGCAGGTCTGCGATCATCTAAAAGAAGCAGCCAAGTTCTTAAGAATCCAAGTTGTTCCCATTGTTGGTGGTCTATCCATGGAAAAGCAAGAACGGCTTCTGAAAAGGAAACCTGAGATTGTTGTTGGAACCCCAGGAAGATTGTGGGAGCTTATGTCAACAGGCAACCAACACCTAATTAAGGTTGGTATGAATGCCTGAAAGTGCATATATTAATGTTATGGGCATGCAACTCTGAATGCTGACAATTCAATAATTCAATGTATCATGAGCATATAATATATATACCTGTGAAAATGTCACATGCAGAATAACAAAATAAATGAAATTATGTAGGGTAAGTTCATCTGAACTTGGATCTTTCTGCATGAGTGATTGAATTGAGTTAAATATTTTGTGATGTTTTCTTGTGAGAGCAAATGGCACATAACAAATACTTTAGGTGATAGGGATCCTACTAAGGCATTTGAAGCCATGTTGAATCCAATTTATTTTTTAGGCGAACTTTTTTCAGTACTTATTATTTTCTTGCATAAGGTTTTCCACCCTTGACCACCAGGATTCCTATCCATGCTCATCATTTCTTGTGCCTTTCGTTTGCCTTGTTAGTTCATAGCAAAGCCCCACTTTTGTAAGAAAGATAGAAGTAGAACATACACTTCTATTATACAAATAAAATTTATTATAACCTTCTTCTCATTGTGGTTTTTATTTTCTGATAATTTTATGCTGAAGATATAGTGTTAATTGTAACATTGCTTGTTTCTGTACCCAGTTACATTCATTATCATTCTTCGTGTTGGACGAGGCTGATAGAATGATAGAGCGAGGCCATTTCCATGAACTGCAATCTATCATTGAGATGTTACCAGTGACTAACGGTTCTGATGAACAAACTGTTGGGACCACGCCAAGTTGCGAAACTGTGCCTATATTGCAAATAAAGAAGAGACAGACATTTGTATTCTCAGCAACACTTGCTCTCTCAGCTAATTTTCGGAAAAAGTTGAAGCGAGGCCTAGTTACTGCAAAAGCGTCTGCATCTACTGATTTGAGTTCTATTGAAGCACTTTCGAAGCAGGCCCGTATGAAACCTAACGCAGAAATAGTTGATCTGACGAAGGCTTCTATCTTACCTGAGAAACTTGAAGAGTCTTTTATTGAGTATGTATTTTCTGCTTTTAGATTTTTTGGGGTTTTTAACTGTCGTTTTTCTAGCTTTTACTTTTCCATGGAAAAATTAAATTGTCACATTATTTTTTTGTTTGATTTACAGGTGTAGTGATGATGATAAGGATGCCTACCTGTATTATATATTGAGTGTCCATGGACAAGGCCGCACAATAATATTTTGTACATCAATAGCTGCATTACGTCACCTTTCATCTATATTACGAGTTCTTGGAATTAATGTCCTGACAAATCATGCTCAAATGCAACAAAGGGCTCGCATGAAGGTAATTCTTCCATAAGGTTTATCTTCAAATGTATGCAAGCTGATGGAATTTCCATTCAGTTTGCTTAACATCTTATTGATTTAAAAACAGTATCATTTTGTATTCCCCCCATTATGTGAGCCCAGGTCCTTTTTGGATATTGGATCAGGGATTGGGTTGGTAGGGTGTGTTTCTCAATCCCCCAATCCAGGCCATAAATGAGGTCTAACCCTATATGATTCATATCCCACTCTTATTCCTAAGACAAAACACTCCCATATGGTTATTAGGGTAGAATTCAGTCTTGTTGCTTTGTTCTTATGGAACGTACATTTGACACTATACATGGATTCACGCATATTTTCAATCAATCTCCTTTTCTTGTACCTGTCGAAAATGGAAACACAGTTAAAACTACTTTTCATGCTATTATTATTTAGTTATACCTTTTTAAAGTGGAAAATTTGTGTTATTTTTGTGTCTTTAGGCTGTGGATCGTTTCCGTGAAAGTGAAAATTCAATTTTGGTTGCAACTGATGGTTTTGCAAGGGGCATGGATTTTGATGATGTCCGAACTGTGATTCATTATCAATTGCCACACTCAACTGATGTAGGTATTTTTGTTTATTTCTTCAACCTAAACGATCCCTATGCTGCGAGCTCACCAACTTGAGTTTTTTTTTACATTCTATTGCTTCTTAGGTTTACATCCACAGAAGTGGAAGGACAGCGCGGAAATCAATGGCAGGTTGCAGCATTGCATTAATCTCTCCTGCAGACAAGGCCAAGTTTTACTCACTTTGCAAGTCACTGTCAAAGGTAATTTCCTTACATAGTGCTTTAACCTAGAGCTTTCTTGAATTATTATTTTTTGCATACTGTTTTTTTTTTTGTAGTAATGCAAAACTTTTCTTCACGATATTCAATTGCATACTTGAGTTACCATGTAGGAGTAATGAAAGAATGCAGTCCTAAAGTTAGTCTGCTTTGTAATGATTGGCAGACCCAAGGCCCTGCAACCCCTTGCAGACACTGGGTCTCGTCAGTGGGCCACAACATTGTAGGTGGCCTGCACTTACTATTGTCCGTCGTCCGACGATGCCTATGATCGTCCACTCATATATTCACCCAAGGCTCTAAAACGATCCTAGGTCCACCATATGTAGCTGTTGTGCTTCATATGTTGCTTTCATTCATCGTCTGCATAAACCCTGCATTGAAATGTTGAACGATCTCATGGCTGGACCTAATTGATGTTTGTGGTCACTATGTTCATTTTGTTTCATACCATCTAGATCCTTTTATTTTTCTCCTAGTTGCCACTAGTGCACTTTTAACCCTCACTGAGCTTGGTTCTTTCTCAACTTATGTCAATGTATGTTACCTTCTTTCTTTAACTAAAATATCTAGTAACGCTTTGTAATCCTTGATTGACATTGACAGGAGAACCTCCAGCAGTTTCCTGTTGACCATGCTTACATGCCTGCAGTAATGAATAGGCTCACCCTTGCTCGGCAGATTGACAAGATTACACGTAAAAATTCCCAGGCAAGGCCCCTCTGGTTTGCTGTATTTCTTGCCTCATTTAAAAATCGTTCTGATATGTGTTAATTAATCATTGATATCTTGTTAGTGTAGGCTATAACTTGCATCTGCATGCTTTTCAGGAAAATGCCAACAAATCATGGCTTCAGAGGAATGCTGAGTCCATGGGATTATTATTGGAGACAAGTGACAGTGAGGAGGAACGTGTACAGGGGCATAAGCAAAGGAAAGCAACTTCTGCGAACCTCCAGAAGCTTCAACAGGTTTGAATGATTTACAATATTATAGCAGGGTCGGTTATATAATTAGTGTAGTTTTTGGGAAAACCAAGTTGTTATGAGGTATTCATAGTTTGTCCTATATTTCAACATATTTTTCTGTGAATTGATGTAGGATTTGAGTGAGCTCTTGCAACGCCCCTTGCAGCCTAAGACTTTTTCGCGGCGCTATTTAGCTGGGGTTAGTTTACTGGCACAGCTCTTGTTTCTGGAACTGCTATAGTATCTTATATCAACTTATCTGACTTGAATCACTAAAACAATTATTCAGGCTGGTGTTTCACCGTTACTTCAAAAGCAACTGGAAGAGTTGTCCAAAAGGAATGTTAAGGGCAGTGCTAGTGTAAATGCAAATAAAGGATCCCGATTTGTTGTTATTGGTCAGGATCAAATAGAACCCTTGCAAGCTCTTCAGAATTCTGGGCAAGAGGTTTGTGCAAATGAGATTTTTCTACAAGATTATTTATTTCTGTTCAGGGCCAGCATCATTTTTGGGATTTATGGTATGGTATATTTTGGTGTTGCTTATCTATTTAGTGATTTTGTATTTTTCCAGGTGTGTGTGAGCATTGACAAGCAAAGAGAAAAGCGAAGGCTTGCTGAAAATTGGAGGCGAAAGAAGCAAAAAGAGAAGAAAAGTAAGCTTTCTTCTACCCCTCTTCTTTAGGAAGCAGGCAAACTACCTGATGAGTGATGAATATGCATCTTTAGGAAGCTTACTCTAAATAGAGGTTGAACAGCAAAAATCTTTGTATGTCCGTACGGTTTGGCTTGCATGTAATACTGCAGATTGTAGCACCTTAGTAGACATGTTAAATAGATGTCCGCTGTCTGTCAGCATTATCTATTAATTTCTTCTGATCTTTCTTCTTCTATAGGTACACGAGAGCAAAAGAGAAAGGAGAAGAGGATAGCTAAAGAAAGGGACTAAATGACAACGTTGTCCAACTACTCATCATTGTAGGCACTACATTGTTACTGTTGGGAAACAAGTTTTGGGGGTGTTGGATATCATTTTTGCAATTGAAGATAGGGTTATAATCAACTGTACCAGCATCATATCTGAGCATCAACTGTGGCATGCATGATACCCACCAGTTTATTGATCTGATGGTTGCTGGATGCATGAAATATTTTCTTCAACCACATACACCTGATTGATTGAATCTTACCAAAGACGTAGAAAACTTCGTTTGTGATCATCACTAAGGGCCTGTTTAGTTCCCTAAAAGTTTTTCCCAAAAACATCATATCGTATCTTTGGATACCTGTATGGAGCATTAAATATAAGATTAAAAGAAAAACTAATTACACAGTTAGGGGGGAAATCGTGAGACGAATCTTTTAAGTCTAATTAGTCCATGATTAACCATAACTAGTAATCCACATGTGCTAATGATGGATTAATTAAACTTAAAAGGGCGAGTTATGAAATTAGTTTTTAATTCGTGTTTGAAAACCCTTTCCGATATCCAATCAAACATCTGATGTGATACTAAAAAATTTTTATTTCGCGAACTAAACAAGCCCTAAACATTTCCAGTCTGAGGCTGAGGCGTATAGAACAACGAGGCTCTGGTGTTATCATCAATCGCCATACATATTGTGAATACCACGTTACCATTTACATTTCATATAACATAAATAAATAAAATAAAACAGAGCCCCTACTATGGCCTTCGTTCCTTTTCCTCTTCTTTGATCATTTTGGGCGACACCAACACCTATTAATATAAATAAATAAATAATAAATGCAACTCCCACAATCTCGCTGCAATGAGCACTGAACGGTTCAAATTCGACATCCTTTTATTGCCTCCCGATACAGTACAACAACAACAGCATCTTTCGGCTGTGACCCATTCTATGCCTCGGCTGAAGAAACTTTCAACTAACTATAAGAAACTATGTTACCGAAGTGCAGCCATTGTTACTTCCACAGCTTGACAGAGTTGTCGTGGCTCGCGGAAGCCACCATCCCTGTAATTGGTGATTGCGCCAACGCCGCGATTAGACCTTCATGAGCCTGCACTGTCATGCTCTGGTTCTTTACCATGTTCCATAGCTCCAGAGACTGCATCATTGCAATTTTCATCAGAAATAAATAAGCGACAAAGATCAAAGTCATCGGAGGCGCTGTTTTGAATTAAAACATAACTAGATTTGATCATTACAAGCGAAGCTAACATTAATTTTGTTGCATGTGGTCTATTTTGCCGCGAACCATAGATTATTAAGCCTTTCTTTTCCCAATGGTTGGCAATGAAACAGTTTTTGTGGCTGAGAAATTACGCCACTACACAAGTATGACAGTGCATGGCAAGTTGTTCCTACAACAGCTGCTTCCTAATAAAAGTAGGCTATGTTTTGCCAATAAATGACTAAGATCCATGTTTTAGAATAATTACCTGGTAGCCTCCAATAACAAGGAGATCGGTGTAGCCCGGGTGGAACACACAAGAATGAAACTTGTTTCCATTAGAGCTAACCTCATGAGTACAGTCTCCTGATGAGATTGACCAGACCTTAACTAGGTCCTGACTGACAGAAGCAAGGTATTGCCCACTGCTGTCCCAGCACACTGATTGCACTTCTGAGTTATGGCCCTGATATTGCAAACCAAACACCTTAGATTCATGATTACATATCATAACAAGATCAACAACAGGTTTCCAACTCATATAAAACAATAATTTCACTCCAAAACTGAGGGATTAGAGGTGTGCATGTGCTAGATCATAGTGCGTTGTTGAATAAGAACAGAACCTGTAGGGTATATTTTTTCCCATTTGTTTCAACATCAAATATGGAAACCACATTCTCGGTAGCAGCTGCGAGAAACTGTCCAGTGTTAGGTTGAAATCGAACTTGGGCAGTACCTCCCTGTCCAACAAAAACCAGAGTCAAACAGATGAATCTATGAATTACACAACCTTGGTTCTTTGTAAGAAAAAAAAAGCAAAAGATGTTAAGCAAATTCTAAGGAAAAAACGCCACAAACCTTCATGGCACGCATACAGCTAAGCTGAGACACATTCCAGTACCGGATTTCACCATTGCTATCACAAGAGCACAAAAGGTCCGTCTTCTTTGGATGAAAATCTAGTGATGTGATTCCAGAGCAATGACCAGCAAATGTATGCAGGGAGAAGCCAGGCTGCAAAACAAGCGGACTTTTATAATCAACACGGTACCAAATCAAGTAAATATAGAACCAACATTGAATATATACCATAGTCTCGACACACTGAACTCTTATGTGCCAAATAACTTTACAATTAGCTAATAGACCAAAACCATAATCACACATATACTATAGCTTACAGACTAGTTCGTTTGCAAATTGGTCTTGCCTTATACTGTCAATTCCAAGACAGTAGTGTCATGGTATATTTGTTATGACATATACTGCAATGATCAGTACTCTAAATGAAAGTGTGTGCCAGTCAGTACTACGGCGCAGAAAGAATTAGTGTTATGGACAGCATAACTCCAGGCATAATTGGGTAATCTCCTTCCCACTTTCACACACACAGGAAAAATCATGACTTACATCTGCAGCATTCCACAGTTTAATAGTTCTATCGAAAGATGATGTTGCCAGCTGATTAGAGTTAGGTCTGAAACGGACATCAGTGATAATGACAGCATGCTCTTCAGCAGTATACTGTGTCTGGAAAGTCTCCATGTTCCAAAGTACAGCCTAAAAGACAGCAGAAAATAAGCCACAATATTCAGAAAAGTCGGATGCTGAAAAGAAGTGCATTTACCGATACCTTCTTTTCATGTCCAGCACTAGCCAGTATCTTGCCATCTGATGAAAAATGGCAGCAAACTACTTTGCTATTGTTTGTTCGCCAACAATTTACCTCACTGAAGGTGAAACCTAAAAAACATGGAACGTTATTTCATGTAAACATGGAAACATTCAATGTTTACAGAACACACAGAACGTCAAGGATCACCTTTTGAAGCCACTGGATTAGGCTCTGCAGGACTTTTTTCAGGTGCAGCAAAAATATCCCTTGCATCTCCATCTCCATTGGCTAAGAATGATTCAACATTATCATCCAAAGAGCCCATGTCACCAAATTGTTCAAGATCATCCTGTAAGTAAACGACAGCCTTGCTTATATATCTGGCATAGAAGAATAATTACATAGATAAAGCAGTACAGTTAAATGGAAAAGAGAAGGTGCAAAACCAGGTTTGACGAGGATGGCAGTCCTGTTCCTTCCACACCATACATCATTAAGTTTTTCGGAACATGGCGCATATTGCCAGTCATTCCAAGTCCATCTCCAGGCGTATGAGTAGACGGAGTAGATGGTGGTGAATTGGTCGAAGGACCAACTGTATTTGCTGTTCCGGTACTATTTGCTGCTCCTGAAGATGTAGGTTGCTTTCTTTTTCTATTGCCCTGGAGGCCATAAATAATTATAGAATGAGAAGCATATAGAAGTAAACATGAATTGCATTGAAAGAGAGGGAAATTGCAAGTTAATCATTTGAGGGGAATTATTTTCAGCCGGAAAATCATGTTTGTGTGTGCGCGCGCACGTTGAATGGGTGAGAGAAAGGGAACGACTGAGTGAGGAAACCAAGGGGTTGTATTAGTCTATTAGAGCATGCAAAATTATGCACCATGCCGCCAAATTGGTCTCAGACATATGCAGGAAAAAACAGAAGCAAAATCCATCCGCTTAATTGATATGCCAAAAAAAGACATCATCCTTAGCAAATATGCCATTAATAACTATAATGACATAGAGTTGGATTTAGTGCTCTCAATTAAATCCCATTCACTTTAATGCCCTCTACAGTGTCTCCCTTGGAATCATTTCAGGAAAATTATTCCCAAACAGATTTTGATTTTTGAAAAAAGAATAGCAAGCTTGTAGCACAAGACCAGCATAAAATCTTCTCCTGATTTTGTCATGTCAACATTTCGATTCTATTGTGTACACCATATCTAACTAACTAAATCATTATATCTACAGAAAAAAGTAGAAAAGCTGTGCCACTGCAGTACATCATCAGCACAAAATCGTCTCAATTGGCCTTTTCAGACCAGCATTTTGATTCCATCGTGTACACTATATCAATATATTTAACTGATTCATATGCTACAGTGAACACTTATAATTTATTTACAGAAGTGCGGCAGTAGGTACAAAGAATAGTTTTGCTTGGCAGATTTATGGTTTCAACTTTTTTTTTTCTCGACCACATTTGTGGTTAAAACTTTAGGGGTAAACGCTCACATCAATTAAATTTTCTACAACAGAAGATGAATTCAGAGATTGGGCTTGGGTATACTATCAGTAGTTGGTACCTGTTGTGTTTGCTGTTGCTGTTGCTGATTATGCTGCTGCTGAAGTTGTTCCTGTGTTTGCTGAGAAGATGTCTGCTGCATGTGGGTACCTTTTAGGTATAACTAGATTTTTTTGCAAAACAAAGAAGCAGCACACTTCCAGAAGAAAAACCAACCTTCATGAGATATTCTTGGTCTGGTCTGACTTTGGGTGAACTGGATTGCATTGGGGAAGTAATGCACCCATCAGTTCCAGCAGGTTGTCCATCTTTACCATTCAACACGCTCCTGGTTAGCGCTGACAATCTTCGGGGATCCATATCCCCTAAATTGGTAGAGTTGCCAAGATTTCCCTGTGCTTGGGCTTGTGCTAAGAATTGCTGCTGCTGCTGTGGCGACATAAGTTGAAACTGCGACTGTGTTGAAAGAAATGGCTTCTGCATTTGACCACCTAAATTTGGCCGCAGTTGGTCAATTCCCTGTAAGATGATAGCACCAATATTAATCAGTAGATCCAAAATAAATGCATGAACAGATGAGGCAATTTATATTCATGAAGCTTACAGTTAGCGGCCAGCCCTTCAATGGTAGACCACTCACTCCTTGGTTTAAAACTGTTAACAGAAAAATGAATCTCAATCATTTAGCAGCAAAGAGATTTCTCAACAAAATCAGAATGGACAAAGCAAGAATAGGATATTTTTCTCCCTTGAGAACAATAGCATTTGCTTTTAATGTTTCAGAATATGCCCACAATATAGTCACCACAGAAACAACATATAAATCGATGTAGTATATAAGTTCCACGTTCACTGCATTTATTTCAGAGTGCTACTTTAGCAACAAAAGCGAACTTATATACAGAGAGGAATGGGCTGACCTCCACCACCCAATCCAGGCTTTGGCTGGATTATTCCCTGACCATATAATGATGATGGGTCCATGGGCATAGATCTTTGTGCTACACTCATGTTACCTTCACTTTTTATATCCTGTTAGAGATGATATTTGGGTCATCATTGTATACATTTAATGGACTAATGGACAAAGTAGTGAACTTAAAATACACAGCATAAATTAACCAATAAACCCACAATATTTTGCTGATTCCGAGCTTGGATTTGTTGAAGCGTCGTAGACACACTTCCAGGAGTCCCAGGTACTGATTGCCTATTTCCATAAAATATACAAATAGTGAGAATGCTGATAGCACATCAAATTCAATTTCTTCAATTTTGCTTTCACATATCAGAAAAAAATGACATGGAGGATTACCCTGAGTGATTTGTTGACGCCGACTTGAGAAGAGCCAACCTACTAGCATCAAGAAGCTGTGACCCATCAGAGTCCATGGGATGAGAGTGCTTTAAGCGCTCTTCATACATCTTGGCAGCTAAAACACTAGCCGTAGATGGTCCCAGAATGCCATCAGAGTTTAGGCCACTTATTGGACCATTAAGTGAAGGATGAGTGGCATTAGTTCGCTGCAGTTGAGCATGTCTTTGTTGTATTAGCTGCAACTGTTGCATTTGCATCTGCTGTTGATGCTCTCTTGCTTTTGTTTGCTGTGCCTATATTTCCAAAAGGAAATTTACATTGGACAAGCTAAAAAAGACATGCATGGTGATTAAAAATTTACAATTCCAAAGGTACCTCTAGGTATGCTGCTGCGATCTCAGAATGCTTCTCGTTAGTTCTTGCAATAAATATATCCCAAAAAACAGACCACCACTCAAAGAGAAACCCTCCAGGAGCATCAATTGCTGCAATACAAGAATTTACAATTATGATGCTTGAATGAATCTCCTATGAATTGAAACTAATGTAGTAAATGGGTCACAGGTAAACAGCATGCATAAGTTCTTGGAGTGACACAAATCTATATTGAATTATTAGTTCTAGGTGTTTTGCATTAAATATATTATCATCACCTAGGGTTTTTGGCATCTTTGAAGATATCCACATGCCAAAGTTGAATTGGAAGGTTCAGATGTGGTAGTTATCACATCTGAAGAACCTAGCAAAACAAAAACATACTACCTAACCCTTTTCTCACATGCCAATTTTAGTAAGTGAGAAGTTTATTTGGAATTAAAGGTGATGGTACGTTTCATGAGGATTTAAAGATTTTTGTAAATCGCATGCTGTTTTTTATGTGACAGAACTGAACCATTTAAGCTGGGAAAAGCAACTAGGGTCAAACATCATGGAGGGTTCAAAGGTGACAAATTAATGAATTATCATTTTGAGTAATGCGTGAAAGATGAAGCTAGCCCTTTTCTAACAGGCCTGGTCTTAGCGAGACGTGTATTTGGAACTAAAAGGGCAAAAGCAAAGTTTTTCTCTTTATTTTCTAAGTTTAGTTCAGCTCCCTAGTTTGGCACTGTATCAGTTGTTGACTGTATAGTACTAGTAGTCTAGAACTACCTACTACATGTGTGAGAAATATGCAAATTGTATTAGTATTACTTTGTTCTGTAGTTCTGGTCCCACTATGCACATGTATTCCTATCCATGTTAGGGCTCCTTAGGGCCACAAAATATAATGTACTCTGTATCAATTATTATTTCTCATGTCACAGAACAAAACAGTAGTTTCTAGAAAGTTAAGCATCCTGTTCTACTATACATCTGGAGTTTTACTACCAAAACTCAAAACCCTTTACAACTTTTCTAAATGTATGCATCTATTCTTATTTGAACACAGCTGACAATTTGACATAATTCAGTTCATCGAGTGCTGAAAGAAATGGCTGAACAATAGCTAAGTTAGCTAAATACCATTAATAGATCATTTCTGGCTATATATGTCAATTACATTATGATAGATATATGAAAAGAGCCACAACTAAAAAGATCTATGCGGTTTCTGCTTTTAATACATCTGTACTCCACCATCAAAATCCAATGTTGTCTACAAGCATGCATGAATGTCCAAAGCAAGCCGCCCAATCCCGCCATCCACTCAATAAGATAGTTGTTGAAACTATTATTTACTACCTCCATTTTTAATATATAACATGATTCATTATTTCCTTCAAATTTTACCTACAATATTTATTCAGTTACTTAGTTAAAGTGAAAAGAGTACCACTAGATCTGCCATCAAAAGTACTTAAGCGTGCGTTGTATGTTTTTTTAAGAAAGAAAATAAAAAACCAGGCCTCTACATCCAAAGTGGATGTACACAACTATCATGCATTGTATGTTTGCCTATATGCACAGATATTTCTAGAAAAGATGAATAGCCAAACGAATCACAAAAGTTAAATGCGTCATATATTAAAAAATGGAAGTAGCACATGACTAGCTGAATGAAAACCACGAAAGCTAGACACCCAAGTGAACCGAACACCAAGCGTCTCCATTCTCCAAGTTACTTTTCCCCCAAACATCGAAAGCTATACCCTGCATTAGCTCGAAGCTCTAACCGTGAGCACCTCTTCTTAAATTTTGAAGGAAGAAAAAGTCTCCCAAATACTTCCACGTTCCAAATTTTCTGTTCTGATTTGATCAGAAACAACCCCTGTGTGAAGATTTCAAATTTCATGGCACAAGACTCCCATTCCAGATCGAAACCCAAATTTTCGTTCCTACTAATGCTCGAAACCTGCCATCTCAAAAAAATAAAATAAAAATGGAAACCTGCCCCTCTACTTAAAATCCAGAATTTTCCTGTGGTCACAAACTCCATTTGCTATCAAAAGCTAGCAAGGCAAAAACCAAAGGGGAACCCCAAAAGGAGGCGGCTACAGAAGCAGCGGAGATGAATACCAACTGGATCGGCGGAGACCTTCCCCTCCGCCATGAACGACTTGGCCGTCGCCTGCAAATTCCGCTTCAGCAAATAGTCATAGATATACACATCAAGCCTGCACGACAAGCACCGGAAATTAATCCTAACACAACAACAAAAAATCCGCAGAAACCAGGCACCAAAAGACAGAGAAATCGCCTACATCTTATCCGCTTCCCAGTTGCTCTGCGCCATTCCGCTGCACAACCCCGAGCAAACCGAACCAAACACGACACAAATCAGCACCATAGCCAGCACAATCAGTCCTAATTCACAGCAGAACGTAGGGATCAGAGCCCACATTACCGGTTGGCCGCGATCCCGCCACTCGGCGGGCCAGGAAAATCCGCGGCGAGCGCCCGAGCGGCCAGGCGAAGCGGTGGCCTGGGGGGAGAGAGAACACCCCTCAATGACCGATAGAAAGGTGAAAAGGGGGCCCGACGAGACGACGCCCGCGCGAGCTCGGACGGGGAAACCCCCGCTGGTCAGCGTGCGCGCGCGCGCTCGCCGGAGCTCGTCGCCCGCCGCGAGCTCGAGCTCGAGCTCGGCGCGGCGCCGCTTTTGGGAGCGTGCGGCGAGAGCTCGAGGAGAGAGAGAGAGAGAGAGATCGGGAAGGAGAGAGAAAGGGGAGGGAAGGGAAGGGAAGGGAGGGGGGGGAAGAGACGGTAGTGTGGGCCCGTTTCGGCGAAAGTATCCTCTCCTCTAGTCCTTCCGCCGTGCGATGGCTATGCGCTTCTTTTTTTTATTATATTCTCTTGGGTTACGATCTCCACTGCGAGCCGTCGGATCTAAAATGGACGGATTTGGTTGGGACGGGTTGGGTCGAGTAGGTGAGTTTTTTTGCGGAGAGCCCCCTCAGGTATCCACCTCCTTCGACTTCTCGGTCCCTAATTAGTAATTACTCCTGCTTTGTGTACAGATGAGCTGTCGAGTATTGATCATAAATGATTATTTGCTGTAGATATATTACTGTAGTACTACAGATTTTGAAACCATTAATGCGTGTTTAAGGTTTGAAGTGGAAGCTATTCGATTTGAGTTAAATTTTATATGACGACGTTGGTTCAACTTTTTTTAACCAAATACTACCGGGCATCTGCCCAGCAGGCCAGTAGTGTACTACGTTGGTTCAACTTTTATTTTGATTCCTCGAAAAAAAACTTTTATTTTGATAGGTTAGTATTATGTTCATATTAGTATTAAAATAAACCTTTCTAAAATTTAGCAATAGGAGTACTAAATTTTTGGAAAATTGCTAACATCTATGACAGACTCATAAATGTGTTATTACTAAAATTCACTGAACATTAGTATTAATATTTGGTAGCAAACTAAATGTATTCATATATTTATCAATTTTACTAAAAAGGATATAATTTAAAATGACACCGATCTGAATAGGTTATTAATAATGAAAGTATCTACCATTACTAGCGCGCGCGAAGCCAAAATTTTGAGTCATGTGAAATCACCGTTGAGAGAAGAAGAGATGGGAGGGGGATGAAGAGGGAGAAGAGGAAGAGTAGAGGGAATGAAGGAGCAAGGAGATAAGTCCCCCTCTATTCATCTCTTCCTAATCCACCCCTTTGTATCAAAGAGATATTTCGATTAACCTTGACCAAACCAAGCATCTGACTGAAATACGGACTTGACTGTGTGTTGAAAATTGTGTCATGGTTACTCGATCTTCGCAGATTGGCGCCCAGCACTCCGTCTCCGATTCCAAGCCGCGTGTGCATTCATCGTGTCTCCGACTCGCATTCTGTCTCTCAGGCCATAAAGCCAGCGCCGCCCCCGTTGCTCGTCATCCTGTCAACCAAAGCTCCTTGCACGTCAAAAGTCAAAATTGTGTCAAAAGCAAGCACTCCCGCCTTGCCGGTTTCACCCGCCCATGACGACGACACGCGACGAGCGGATTTGAGCCAGCCGGGACGACGGAGATGGCGTCGACGGCGGCGGCAGTGTGGACGCCACTGTACCCGGGGTTCCTGTACGATCCGGCTAGGTTCCGGTCCATGATCACGAAGGAGGGATTCGTGTACGACCCCGTCTTCCGCTTCGAGACAAAGGACGGCGCCGTCGGCGGGCTCCTCCTCCACTACGACGAGCGCGGATTCCGCGTCGGGCCGGTCCCGAGTTTTCAGGGCCCCGGTGCGAATCTAAACATAGAGGCCCTTAACATAATAGTAGTAGTAGTAGTAGATATATGAGTTATTGCCGTAAAAGTTTAATTAAATTGCATTCATAAATAATATTGATATAAAAAAATTCTATTTATTACCTTAAAAATGTATTTTTCTCGCTACCCGATGCATACTTTATCAATGACATGGCCTAATAATTGAAAAAAAAAGGAACTACACTAAAAATTATAAATCTAAATTTAAAATCTTACCAATTAGTTGATCGTAATTTGCAAGCGTTTGAGTGTGCACCACAAGTCTATACCTAATAAAAAAATTCGTAAGGCTTTCGTGAGGTTTTTTCGTCCGTCGGCGGTTTCCTGAACGCACACGCGGTTTTTTTGCCATCCGGTTTTTTCGTGGTTTTCTAACCCGGTTTTTTTTCGTCGTTTTTTCTGTCCGGTTTTTCTGGGCCGTCTGGTTTTTTCACGGTTTTCCTGGTCCATTTTTTCGTTGATTTTTTCTATCCGGTTTTTTTTTGCGGTTTTCTACCCTGTTTTTTTTCGGCTGTCCGGTTTTTTTTTACCGTGGTTTTCTTTTTTTCCATCCGATTGGGTTGAAGCACAAATTTAGTAGGATACAAATACATGACTCAGAAATTACAAAGGCCAAATAGAGTCGGGAACAATTAGATGGCCCAAAAATTGCATACAGTCCAATGATAGAAATTACATACCGAATTACATACAGAATCCAACTATTGAAATTACATGTCCAAGTAGAATACAAACATCTTATCAACCTATACAAAAAACTGAAATCACATATCACAAATAAGACTCATATGCACCCAAAATTTGGTGTGGATACTGAGCAATCTCTCACTCGGCACTAATATATGCCCCCAAATTTGTTATTTTTTTCAAAGTGAGCAATTTCTGGTTCAACGTGATACTAAATCTACGTTTATGATGGACGCAGGTAATTCTTTAGCCCTTAATGATGCACATATTAAGAATTGTATTTATTTTTTGGCATAACTTTTGGAACAATCACAATTGAATCTAGATATTTAATTATTCGTCTGCTCTCATAGACTGGAATTTGTAAATTATTCTTCTACTTCCTGCTCACTACTTTCCCACCTTTTACCTAAATTATTGAGTAAATTCAGACAAAATCAATTACATATAGCAAGCATTAGCAGCAATTATTTTTCACTCTTAACATACACACAAATGAAAAGGTTAGAACCAGATTAATTTTTTTTAGAATGATCCAACTTTGCATCAACTCTGCCAGGTCAAATGTAGTAGGAGCAAGAACAACTACTACACTATATGCAATTCTAATATGAAATAAAGACAAACAGTGGCATGCAAAATACTCAATACATATGCATCATGCATCCATATCAAGTTGTTCTGAGATTGCTTCCATGATTGCGTGGTGGCACTCAAAATCACAGCTAACTAAGTGCAGTTTAGAGGTATTATCAATGTTTGCACAAATCAGTATGATAAGTATCATTTAGTGGTTGAACATCCACACCCACATAATAGTATAGATCTTAGTGTCCACACAAGCTAGAAGTACTTACTTCAGTACGAGTAGTAGTATCATTTAGAGGTTGACTATCCATATGACCACATCCACTGAACAATGCAGACCATGAAACATCATGCAACACAAACAAGCAGGAAGGAGTTGAGGTTGAGAGACCGTAAAACTTACATATTTCCAACTGGCGGCAGCGCAAAACACCTACCATATGCTTCTCCACTCCCAAAGTTCATGTCCGCCATTGAAAATAAACTTCTACAGGAATCAACATAGGAAAATGATTAGCACAATAAGATACCATTCAATGTTGGAATATCATATTAGTGTCAAAATAATGAAGTGATCTAATCTCCTGCAGCTCAATAAAACGAACAAAAACAGCTGTAAAAACGTAAGACATCAATCAGTAATATAATTGAGCACCACAGAGTAGATCATCATGAAAACCTTAGAATGCCCCCAGAAATAAAGGGATAGAAAGGAAAGCAGAGGCCCTCGCGGAAAGATAAAAGAAAATGAAAAGCACAGCTGGCTTAAACGAATAGACAGAGTAGGACCACGAGAGGTCATTTTTTACGTAAGGAATAGGCTCTAGGAAAGCTGCCTGGAAAAGTAGGAATGGAAGCAGAATGCTTACCGGCTTCGGAAGATAGGACTGCGAGACTTGGACATGAAGGAGAGTTCCCGCTATTCCATAGGGATTTGACAGATTCTCATACACCAATATGGCCTTCTAGCTAGAACAGACACATCATGCAGACCTTCTGGTCAGAGAGATAAATTACTTGAGAATCAAGCAAGTAAACTAATTATTTAACATAATGTAAACTAATTATTTGTTTTTACCAGTACATAATCTCCTAATCAATATCTTGCTAGATAAATATACTTTGCATGCTATTCTTTTAGATAGAACACCTAAAGGTCTCTTCTAATTTTGCTATTTTTGGTTGAGTTTTGATCTCCTGAACTTTGTTAATGTTTCAAAAGTTAGTGTTTTGTCACTATAAACTTGATGGAATTCTGCTTTGTGATAGAACCTTGAAATCTATTATATATCATGTAGATCAGTCATTCTATTCTTAATGGCCTAAACTTATTGTGCACGCAGAGATCCTCGCGTTATTGTTTTATTATTTAAATACATTATGTTTTCTTAATTGTGAAGCTTTTTAATTCATCGAAAAGACATATAAGATTACCCATGTGTGTAGAGTTTAAATTACAATCCACAGGTACCACCTAGGTTTATATTCATCTCAGTATTCCATAAGTCGTAGAGCTACAAACCAATGAAATCAAATTAACTAACTGTTCTGTTTTTTTTTAAAAAAAAAACTACTCTTATGCAGTATAAAAACTACTAGAATACAAAAGCAATCTTAAAAAACATATATACTGGAAGGTGAGATATAACTTGTGCGTGTGTGTATGTTGTGCGGGGAATAAAAAATGAATAACAGGAGTTAAAAGACTTAGAATGAGATTTACTGATTTAATTTGCAATATCAACAATTCAAATTAAGCATCGGAAACTTCCGCGTACCTGTCAGACATTGTACGCCGCAATCAACCATCAAACACCCTATAAACAGCTTCTCTCTGCATAGCAGCATAGTGCATATGCAATTAGGTTGTCCAGCAAAAATAAGACAATTATTCAGTTACATACTACTGAGAAGTAATAGGAACAAGCAAATACTGAAAAGTAGCAAAGGAGCGAGTCTTGAGGCCACAAGGAGCCTTCATTGTGTTACCATGCATCGGGTCGGTAACCCATGTTACTATCTGGACAGCAACATGAACAGCACGTATGAGGTGAGGGAGTTTCACTCTAATGTTTTCAGGTAATGCTTGCTCATAGGGAAGAAGAAGGCACTCATGTGATGTCCAGAATTCTGTTGTCATAATAGGGTGATCCATAGTGAGTCCATCAGCTGCCATGAACCACAAAGCTTCATCAACTCAGTGAGCCAACTCC